GATTCTATTCCAGATATTTTACGGTCCCGAAAAGGGACGGTGTTCTTCTTCCGATCCTGGACTTACGAACTCTTAATAAGTACATCAAACCAAGGAAGTTCCGGATGACCTCTTTGCAAAATATTCTTCCGTTATTGAAAAGAGAGGATTGGTTCGCCTCACTGGATTTAAAGGATGCTTATTTTCATATTTCCATGCATCCTTCACACAGACACTTTCTACGTTTTACTGTCAGATCCGACCTGTTAGAGTTTAACATCCTACCTTTTGGCTTGGCCACAGCCCCTCGAGTCTTTACGAAGGGTATGGCACTGGTATGTGCACACTTGAGGACACGGGGAATACAGATATACCCATACTTAGATGACTGGCTAATCGTCTCGCAATCCGAGCAAGCTCTCCTGTCTGATATACAAATGAGCTGCACTCTACTCAGTGCTCTCGGTCTCTGCATTAACTGTGACAAATCGTCCCTTATTCCCACGCAGGTCATTGATTTCATCGGGGCATGGCTCGACTCGATGCAGGAAAAAGCCTTCCTCCCACCGGAACGTCAGAATGCCTTATGCAGCCATATTCATCGGATTCGGCTACATGGAACGGTCCCAGCCTTATCTGTTCAGAGACTACTGGGGCATATGGCTGCTGGAATTGCCATTGTCCCATATGCCAGATTACGTATGCGACCCATACAACTGTTTTTCAGCACTGCTTTTCAACCGCAACAAGATCCTGCCACCAAGCCGATTCGGATTCCGTCTGCAATCCGTCACACTTTAACGTGGTGGACCATCACAGAAAACCTGTCGATCGGCGCCCCGTTTCGACCACCTCGGCCAACGACAACTCTGTACACCGATGCATCCCTCTTTGGATGGGGTGCGGCATGTTTGGGACTTTGGGTCCAAGGTACTTGGAACCGACGAGAGGCGAGGAAACATATCAACTTCCTGGAACTTATGGCGATTTTCAATGCCCTCAAGGCTTTCGAGACTGTGTTATGCCGTCAAGTTGTCCAAATTGCATCAGACAACATAGCGGCAGTTTTCTACATCAACAAGCAGGGGGGCACAAAATCCCCAGCCTTAGCACGCCTATCGATGGACATTTGGGACTGGTGCATACTGAGGAACATCGTGCTTATGGCAGTTCACCTGGCTGGAACCGACAATGTCGAAGCAGATACATTAAGCAGACAGATGTCAACAACCCACGAATGGGAGTTGGACAAACAAATTTGCGAGAAACTCTTCCACTTGTGGGGTTATCCGGACGTGGACCTGTTTGCCACTGGAGAGAACAGCCTGTGTGCCCTATACTGTTCCAGAGCGGGCGTCGGGCCGGGATTGATGGGGGACGCTCTTATGGTCCCTTGGAGCAACATGACTTTTTATGCGTTTCCTCCGATCCCACTCCTGACAAGAGTGGTTGTGAAAATAGCCCAGGACAATGCCACGGGGATACTGGTGACTCCGTGGTGGCCGAGACAACCATGGTTTGCCACTCTTTTGCTGCTGTCCAGAGGAACGTTCCTTCATCTACCAACTCTTCCACATGTGTTAACAAGGAGGAGCAATCCGTCATCTGGATATACTCTCTCTGAAGCTGACGGCATGGCGGATCACCTGATTCACGCCACTGAGTCGGTACCGGGGACACCTCACCCTACGGGTGACCTTACTCAACAGATGGTATATGCGGCCCCGACTTCGGATTCAACAGCAACTGCCACGGTACCGATGCCTACGGACAGAGAAATTCAGGCGATTCTCGAATCTGCATTGAGACCGTCCACTCGTTCCTATATGGCTAAATGGAAAAGATTCTCCTCTTTTGTAGAGTGCCATTCTTTTTCCCCTGGAACGGCTTCATTCACCAATATCTTACAATTTCTCTTGCATTTGCATCATGAGGGACTTAAACCATCATCCATCAAAGTTTATGCAGCCGCTATATCCCATTATCGTGGCACTATCCACGATTCATTAAGGGACTACAAAATTTACATCCATCTATTCGCCCTGCCATGCCAATGTGGAGTCTTTCTGTAGTGCTCCAAGCGCTTACCAAACCACCATTCAAACCCTTAGCAACTGTGGACTTAACGCCTGGTGTCGTGGAAAACTGCCTTTCTTGTAGCAGTTACATCAGCACAGAGAGCTAGCGAAATTTATGCTCTCCGCATAGACCCACCATTTCTGAATTTCCATAAGGAAAAAGTCATCCTTCGGATGGATTTCTCCTTTTTACCCAAGTTGGCCACACCGTTCCACCTGAATCAGGACATCGTTCTGCCGGCATTCTTTCCATCGCCGTCAACCCCGATAGAACGTGCTCTACACACGCTTGATGTTCGCCGTTGCTTGGCCTTTTACAGATCCTGCACTGAAACTTTTTGTGCTACTAACAGACTTTTTGTTAAATACTCTGAGCGTGAAAAGGGATCACCGATATCATCTCAGAGACTCTCTAATTGGATCGTCCAGACTGTTGTCCTGGCTTATCAGCTATCGAAAATAGACTTACCTGTCTTTCCAAGTGGCCACTCTACACGAGCAGTAGCGACCTCGTCCGCTTTTGCTGCAGGGGTTTCGGTGCAAGACATCTGCAGAGCTGCGATCTGGGCTGGTCCATGTACTTTCGCCAAGCACTATCGGCTTGATGTACGTGCCAGACAACACTGCTCTTTTGGTAGAGCTGTTCTCTCATCCATTCTTCGCTGACGACACCTCCCTCCTCCGACTGTGGTAAGCTTGCGAATCACCCATATGTGTGATGCACAGAGGCCACGACGAAGAAAAGCAGGTTGCTTATCTGTAACTGATGTTCTTTGAGTGACCATCTGTGCATTCACACAACCCACCCGCCGGCCCCACTCGGTGTCGGTGAGTGGATATCGTTTTTCTTGGTACCGTACTATAATTTGCATCAGTACCATTTGGGTTATGTCGCTGGGTGGTTACTGTTTTTCGGTACCGAAATATAATTTGCATCAGTACCATTTGGGTTATGTCGCTGGGTGGTTATTGTTTTTCGGTACTGAAATATAATTTGCATTGGTACCGTTGAGTTATATCGCTGACTAGATATTGTTCTCGGTACCGTACTATAATTCACATCGGTACCGTTGGGATACAATTGTGTTTTCTCATTACCTTTAGTCTTAACCTCTAGAGGGCGAACGTGCGGTCTTCAAGACTGAGTAAAATGGCGGACTCTCTGCTCTATTTATACCACGAAGGGGGAGGGGAGCGGAGTTTTTCCGCCAAAAACTGTTAGCTTTCTAATCTTCCAGCCTAGGCACTGTGCAGGCGCAGCAACCCATATGTGTGAATGCACAGATGGCCACTCGAAGAACATAAGTTACAGGTAAGCAACCTGCTTTTCTGAGAAAAAGAGAAATCCCCTGTCAGCAGCCTTTATGCAAGTTATCATACCTGAAATTTGGATAGATCGTTCATAGCTTTTAGCAATTTGTAGAGAGGTCTTGGTATGTATTTCAAACTAGATTTTTGAGCTACTGCTGTGACCAAAACTTGTTATCTTTTATTTACTGAAGTTAAAAAGTAGTCATCTTAAGAGTGCTTGCTTTTGTGCTGAACAAAATTGAACTTCACAGAGTACTTTAATGTGAGACTGGTTTGGAAGCTGAATAGCATGACTCCCATAATGACGCCCAAAATCAGGTGATGGGAAGCTTTCCAAATTAGTTGGGAATAAAATAGCTTTTGAACAAACAACCATTTCTTTCCCACTTCCCTCACCAACTCCATTACAGTTCAACGGGCCTGGTCAGATGTTCATTTTTACATGGAATGGTTTCAGGTTCATAAATTCCCTGCCCATTGTAGATAGGAAAAAAAAATCTGCCCTACCACAATTCTCAATGTAAGAGCCCTGCTTGATCAGGTCAGAGGTCCAGTCTTCTTTTTAGCCACAATAGCCAATAAGATGTGTTGCAAAAGTTCACAAGCATGTCCTGAAGCCAATAGCTTACCCATGCTCCCCAGCAAATGCTGATGTATTTAGTTGATATCCTGTAAAAGACATCATTGCAGGCCTTTTAATAATCTAATTGTAGAGGAAGACCAGGATGTAAGTGTGATACAAATAAGAGCATGGGATCATGCCCAGTTCAGAGGTAATGGAAAACCATTTCATGTCTTTCTTTCATATCCCAGAGGAGGAGATTGGAATCACCAGTCTGATTTAAAATGATCCCAATTTCTCCATAATGTCTAAACAGGTAACTGAACCATAACTGAAACCATAATTAGTTCCTGGTTTATTTACATTACAAATAAATTAAGCAAACCACAGCCCTCCAAGGTTCACAGGAGCTGAGGCATATTTATGATGGGAAGTAAACAGTTTTGATCTCATTGCAGACATAGAGGGATGAGGAGACGTACCTAAGACTCACTACAACTTAGTCATCTAGTAGAGGATCATGGTTTCCTGTTATGCCTGAACTGGTCTCTGTGTGCAGAGATGTAAAGTATGGGTTTCATGTTTTCTCTGTTTACTGTGACATCTCTTCCACTCAGTCACTGGGCTTCTGCTAATTCTCTTCATTTGCACTTGTGTGGTGATCTGTTTCTCTGTATTTGTATTGTACTGTTGAAACACTATTGATTTGGGGGCAGTATTTTGGGACTGTTTGCACTAGAAGGGTGACCTTGAAGTCATTAAGATTGCTTTCACGTAAATGACCAATACATTACTAGTTAAGATGTGCTTCCTATATATACTGGAAGGGGAAAATACTATAGGAGCTGTAAGAAACATGCAACTTCAATGGTAACATCTTTTGATTCTTGGGATAGTTCATAAACTGGATTAAGTTAATAAACCATAACACTAAATGCCTGTAATAAATTGAAAAGAAGGTTTTTCCATGGGTCTGAGTTGGGAGAGTAGCATATATTTCATTTTTGCAATGTATAAATAGGTATGGAATAGAAATAATTCTTAGTTTTATTTTTCCTTGTTGATAACAGATGATTCATAATTACATGGAGCACTTGGAAAGAGCCAAACTTCATCAGCTGACGGGGGGTGATCAGCTAGAGCCCATCATGCACGGTAGAATTAGGTAAGCTTAACTAAACCTTCCCTGAAGATAACTTCTTAGTTTCTAGACTTTTTTCTTTGTCTCTTCACCAAGGATTAGGCTGAATTGGGGGGAAAATACTGAACTTCAGAAGGGGGTATATTGAGCCTAGTGGATAGGTGCAAATGGCTTTCCTGTCAGCATAGTTCAAGGCCTCAATTTGAGTATCTGTCACTTGCTTTATGTGTTCATGCAGGTCTGGTATGGCAAGATTTTTCCTTTTATTTTTAAAGCTCACACCTAAGTAACAACAGAAGGACTAGCAATGAAAGGATTTGGAGGAATTAATTCACATTGGCATGATTTGTACTTCTGTGCACATGTTTGTGAGAGAGCGTCTCAGGCTAAAGCTTTGTGACCATATTATGTAGATACTAGAGACTGTCATCCAATGAAATACAGCCAAGCTACAAAGGTTTGAAGTAGTGGGGAGGAGAAAGCGGCTAACAAGCTTGCTTGTATCTTTAGGTTGCTGCATAGATGCTTGGGAGAAGAGAAGCCGTTCTGGTGGTTTTTTTCTCTCCTCCTTTTTAGGTGGGGGAGGAGAGTGAGGTGATGTCATTTTGCTTTGGAGCTGCTGCAGAAGAGAGTGAAAAGCTGCTGCCGATGGCATTGTTTTTGTGGCAGCAGCTGAATGACAGACTCTCACTACAAAGATACTCCCTTGTCCCCTGTGTAGCCTTGGTTCTTGCATTTCACCATGCCAGCGCAGCGCCATGAGTCCTGGATGCATGCTGCTATTTGTGTTTGGCTTCGTTGGCGGGGCGGTGGTCATTAATTCTGCTATTTTAGTGTCTCTTTCTGTTTTGCTGCTTGTGCACTTTTCTATATCCACTGGCGTGCCAGCTCTGACGCAGAACTTATCAAGGATTCTCAGGTACTCTGACCATGGAATCTCTGCTGTTTTTGTATTCTTTGTTCTTGCCTTCTCCATTATTTCTCTCCTCTAGGGTTGTGGAGGGGAAAGGAGGGAGACAATGAAATGATGCTGACCTCAGATGTTGTTCCAGAATTTGAATTGGACAAATGTAGGATGTCTTAAACCATAAAGCTGGCCATTTAAACAAAATGAAATGTTTCATTGTGTGTTCTCCAAGGCTACAAAGTCAGTTGTGTTCTTGAGAAAGCAGTTGACCTTTCTTTTTAATACTGTACATTGTAAATAGTATAAAAGTGCTATGTAAAAACATCGTGGACAAAGCTTGTATTCACTCTATGGTCAGGTGCTTCACTAATTTTGGACAGGCTTGCTTCTGTGGTAGCTTAGGCCTTTCTTTTATTCAGTCTGCCTTACTCCAGAGAATTCTGCAGAATCTGCTGGCTGGTAGCCTCTCAAATGCAAACTATTCCAATTGTGTGTTTGCATCTTTTTTGTAAATGGATTGCTGACATACTAGCTCATTTTAAGCATACTAGAGTGGAAAATGAGATTTAAATACAACATTATAAACCTCCAAGTTTCCACGCACATGATAAATAAATAAATGGATATGTATATATATAGGTTTATTTATTTTGTGTGGAACAAGTTAATAATAAGCAAATTATGTACTGTGTGTTTTAGAACAGGGAGATTGTCTTCATACTAAGTTGTATTATATCCAATAATATAGCTTTCTGAAAACTTCAGTTAGGTTGGGCTTTTTTTAAGTTTCAAGTTCAATACATTGGACAGTTCACTGTCACATGCTATTTTAGGGTAGAACTTGCATATGCTCATTAAATCTGTTCTCACTGGAACACCTCCATTGCATGTTGCTTAGAACTAATCTTTTAATAATGGATATTATAACTGGGGGCATCCATGCAGCCTATGAAAGTGAGCTGTGGGCATACTTTTTAAAGCATTCCTGTGACCTGATAAGAATGTTTCATAAATTCGTCCTGCCCCTTGACTGTAGATTCTTAGGTTAATGCTGGTGTTAAGCACGTTATGAACTCCTCCCATATAGTACCAGACATTTCATGTTATCTTGGAAGTGCAGAGTGGAGTGGTGGGTTAGCACTGCCCAGTGAATCTAAGAAATCGATCTGGTTTGCTATATTCCAACAGAAGAAAATGCCAAGCTTGAAGCTAATAATTTAGCTTTATTATAATAATGCTATGTATTTTGTTATAATTGCTCACAACTTATGCTACCTTCTTAACATGTAACCCTTGGGTAAACTTTTAATATTTGAAATATGTGTGTATAAGCGTTTGCCCATATTTTACATATTGATACAAAATGCAAGCCTTTTTTTAAAGAAAGGTTTTGTATTATGAGAATAAGAATTCAAATTGCAGATGTCTATCTAAAATACAGGGAATTAGCTCTGTGTCTCCATAGCTGTAATATTTCAGTAGCTGACAGTTACTTAGTTTAGTGGATCAACAATCGGTGTGTGACATTTTGTGTGGAATCAATAGTGTATTTTCAGATTCACAGTATGAAAGGAGCTTTTTGGATTGTCACACTATATCCATATATAGAAACATGCACATTTATCTTCCCTTCCCTACTCCCATTTGGGGGAGGGGTAGCATTTAAGGGAAACCTCACATACTTCCAGTTCTGGCTCCTTTGCAGTCAGAGGAGAGTGTGGACTGACCTGAATGTGATTTAAGTGACATTACTGTCTGTATGCCCCCACCCAAGGTTGGAGTTTCCCTGACTTCAAACAGGAGTGTTCAGCTGCTGGAGAAATACACACTCCCTCAATAAATAACTAATTATCTAACTCAGTAAACCCTGGGTTTACATGGCAACCTCCTTACGGGTGTTATATGCTCAAAATGGTGGCTTCATGCACCCCACATGTGTTGCCGGCTCACTTGATTGGTGACCTGTGCAGTATGAGTGCTGAAAAAAGACCTGACAAACGTTACGATCCTGTTGGTAGTGTTTTAAATAGGGTTGGTCACATTCACACACACACAAATCTGTTTAGGGGGCATATAATTTATATAATGTAGGGGTTTTTTTACATTTGCTTCCTTGAAACATTAAATATTAAATATTAATATTATATGTTTGTCAAATTGAGAATATTTATAAAAGGACTGAAGTAGTGAAGCTAGTAATTAGTTATGGCAAAGGGCAAAGCTGTATGGGGTTCAGTTAAACAGTCCTTCCAAGGTCATTCTGCTTTATACAGATTTGTACAGATGTAATTCTACATCTTGAACCTTTTTCAGTAACAAACCTGGAAATTCATTTTTAAATTCTTTTTATTGTAATTTTCCAAAATCAAAACAAATTCAGAGACAAAAATAAAAAATAGAAAAACTAGAATTCATTTTAAAGTAATCTGACAGACTTCCTTAACCCCTCATTTTCTTTTAAAGTTTCATATTTGGATATGTACAGTATGAAAAACCTTAATAAAATTAAGTGGAGTCAAATTTAGCAATATATGCCCTAATTCTTTTAAAAAATATGAGCCCACTTTGTTAAAGTATGATTTTCATAAGAAAAATCTTTACCTTGACTTTAAAACCCCAAGCAACAATTTAGTTTTTTATGCCCTGCTATAAATGTGTTGGCTCTGTTTTGTGCCCAAAGGATGTGGGAGAGTCTTCAACTTGAGACTCTAGAGTAACCTTAATAAATCTTATTAACCTTTTAGTGCAAGCTTAAGTGGAGCTCGGTTCTCTTTCCATGCTGCTCCCACATTTTACAATTGTGAGAATACTAAATAAATTGCTTGAAGGGATGCGTATGATCTCCAACACTTGTAGTAAAACTTCGGTTCAGATATGTTATCTACTCCTGCAAAATGGTTACTACTAGTTTATACACAAGCTTTGTATTCCAGTGACTTTTACAGTTGTGGTGAATTGGTTCTTGATTTGGCATCATTCCTGTTGGGATAATTGGTGCCCTTTAAATGAAGTAACTTTTGTTCCAGTAGTTATACTTAATGGCTCCTGTGAATGGCTATTTTCCTTTATGTTGGCTTGTTCTAAAGATGAGATTTGGCCCACTATAACTTTCCTTGCTGTACTTGACATAGGCTACCCAATTGCTTGAGTGTAGATTCAAGTGTGAACAGTCTGCAGTAGTATGTGGTGAGCATTAATTTGTTACATGTGCATGAACAATGTCTTCCCAAGGAAGAACCTTGCATTATCATGGGATTCATGATTTTTTTTAGCTTTTATGAAGAAAAGAAAGACTATAAGGGTTAAGTAGCCCTTGTAGCAGTTCCTGCTGCTTGAAATAATAGCAGTAATGGCAGCCTGGATTGTAGATGTGTGGAAGTGCCAGTTTGTAACCAAATCTCTGTGGAGAGGCAATGCAGGAAGGATCAGGACAACTATTCTTTCTCTGGTTATTCCACTTGGCTTGGCCCTATCTATGAGAAACTTGACTGGTGATTCAGACTCACTGAAACCTTTCTGGAGTGCAGAGCATGTTTGGTGACCAATATGGCTGGGATGCTAATCAGTTCATTAGGTATCAGTTCACTGGTTGGTTAGTTGTCTATGTTAACTATAGTTAATACTTTTCGAATATTCCATTAAACCATGAATATCCTTGCGTGGCAATTAACCTTTTTATTGCAGTATTGTACCATGTGGTAGTAATCACAGTAAGGAACCTCTTCCTCCCTAACATGTGATGAACCATATGGATCTTCTGTTAAAGAGTTATTGATTGGATTCACATGACACAACAAGTCCAGGGGTAGCACAAACCACTATCAAGCATTTAGCAAGTAGGGCAAAGGGACTTGTTGCTCTAGCCAGGAGGCACCAGGCAAGGGCTGATAACTGCTGCCCCAGGGTGCCCAAGCTGCACTTGGGGGCAACTGTCAGAGGTGCTGTGCACAGTTGCCCCACACAGCTTCTGTGGCAACAGAGCAGGTGAACCTGTGACAGTGGCAGCAGCGTGGGCTGGCTGCTCCCAGTCCTGGCAAAGCAGGTGGGCTTGCGATGTTGGCAGTGAGCTTGGCAGCAGCTGGCTACATCCCTTCCAGCTGCTTGGGGCTGGTGGGGAAGAAGAGGTCACTCAAACCTGATATGGCAGGATGGTACAGTGGGGAAGAGGTTGTGGAAAGTGGAGAAACCTAGTGCTCCTGAGATACCTGTGGGAGGCCTGAGCAGGGAGGAGGTACCTCTGGATCCCCTCTGTGTCCGATCATTTGTCAGGCAGCTCGGGGGGCCCAGGCTAAACAGCCACATGTGGTAGTTTATAAGCCATCTTGGGCTTCTTGTGCTGTGTGAACTCATTCCCTCCCCATAGGGAAGGGGCCTTCCATATCTGGAAAATATTAATTTATAACTAAACAGGTAATATTTACACTGTTTCGTTATTGCAAAGGCTGATTTTCTCTCTTTGTTACACAGTGTATTTATTACATAATTTTATTTGTTTTGCCTCTAGGAGGAATGTTTTTAAACATTCCCATAGGGTCTTATGATCAGCACTCATTTCAATTTGTATGTATGGGAAGATAGGAACCTGGATTCAGGTTAGTTAATTCTCTTCTGCTGTTCCATTCTGGTTCCCTCTGCCTTGGCCTAGCTGCGTTCTCACTCAAATAAAATAGTGCACAGTACATGAAATGCCTATGACTGATAGGTGGAGGTAAGGACTGATAGTTATTGAGTGAACTAAGTTTGTTTTCATCAGGTGAGAATGCGATATCTCTGTTTGGTAAGTAATGAAAATATTCATTTGAAAAGTGATGAAATTAGTTCCTTAAATACATGAAAAGCATCCCTTAACTCAGTATATGTGTATGTAGTACAAGCATTGCTTCAGAGATTTAAGACTAACAGTGCTTATATCTTGATTTTTTAATTATTATTCTAATTGTTATTTAAGAGAAACTTAAAACTTAAGGGAGTCCCCCCCCCCCTTTCTTAATGATCAGATGCTTGGTTTTTAGCCACCCTCTGTGATTGATTGGCTGAGATCTTTGATTTTTATCCACCCTGTTTAAGAGTTACAAAGGAGGGCAGCTTGTATCATGCTACAGACATATGAGTATGGCTAGAGGAATCCAGAGGAAGAGGGCCATGGGAAGGCCCACTGGTGCAGACAGAGAATAAGTATGGCCATATCATCAAAATAAATTGGATGTGATGTTATTAAATTCTTATGATATGTCCATTGTAGAAATAAAGTAAGAAAATCTGGTTCACTTTAGCAGCTCTTAGAAGCTGCTGTCTGAAAGTACCCGTATTTGCTCCATTATTGGTTTAAAACAGACTGAGCAATCAGTCGGAAAGAATAGAGCAGGGCTATCCAACTTTTTGTTCCTTGTGGGCCCACATGAGGACTTCAACACAGAACCCAAGGACTGCACAATGAATTACATTTCCATTTTGTAAATTAGAGTGTTCACAATATGTTTATTTAATGTAACATACACTATTAATATATTTCATCAACTGTTATGCACAGGAGAATTAATTTTAAGATGATCTTCAGACCAGTTGAATGAAAAAACTCTCCCCAGCATGCACTGCCCACTCCTACTGATGAGTTCAGAAGCGCTCAGCTCCTGAGCACCTTTGTGCTTGTCAGCTGAAATGAGCTCTTGTAAGGCTGCCAGCCTGACAAGCTGTTTTCCTGAGGCAGGATGGGATGACAGCCTCAGGAGAGCTTGCCACAGTCATGGCCATGCCATCGCTGGGATCTAGACTGGGGGACAGAACAGTGGGCCTCTGAGTGGCAAGAGGGCCACGGAGCAAGGCCACAGGGGCTGCATGCAGCCTGTGGGCCACATGTTGGACCACCTGAGTTCAAGTCTTAGAACCTCTACAGAATTCAAAAGATTGGTTAGGCTATAAGCCACTGTCTTGTAAACAGAGAACAGACGTGTGATCAGATTTCACATTTAAACACATCTACTGTTTTTTTCTCCTGTTAGGAGTTTTTCTACCTTGCTTCATTATGCACTCTGAGCTAAAGCTATTTATCCCATAAATTGCCTATTTTCAAGCGTGGCACCTCTGTTTTCTACTTCCTTCTGTATATTTCAAATATGATTTTGCCCTGATTTCTTTATGCTTGCAAATTTATTCCCCACGTGTTGTTTAAGTAAAAGTTTACTATTCATAGTTGAGAGTCTATGAAAGTCCATTTAGTCACAAAAATGGTTACCAAAAAATCCAGAAAATGGGAGGATATATTCTGTGTAATATGTTATTTACGTGCATGAACATGCAAGGAAGCAGTTTTATATGGACATATTTTTTGATAAAAATTGGCCTTTCCTATTATCCAGAGATTTAAAACTTTATGCAATGTAAGAATCATAAAGCAAAAAACTTATGCTTCCTTTCCCTGCAGAAAGGAACCTCCATTATCACTGGGCATCTTCCCACTACCTCCAGGAGATGCACTTCTGACGCCTGATACTCAGAGAGGAACAGTGGAAACTCCAGGGTCTGATAGTTGGAAGTTCCGTGAACTAAGTCAGCCACGCTCCCGCACCAGCCTAAAGGTGAGCTAACTGTTTAACTTTTCATGTGAAGAGTTGGTAATAGTATGTTTCTTACAGTTTATTATGTGTGATTGTAACCTAAATGCCAAACTGTCTTTCTTTAGTTCCTAAACTTCTAAGTGAGAGTTCTGGCAGGTAAGTTGAAGGTGAGTCTTTTGCTATTACATATTTTGATGGGTCTTGGTTTGCACTTGGGATTAAGGGAAACCCTGCACCTCAATGCTGGTTTTCCAGGTACACTGTTCCTCTTACTATTGGCTTTCTAACTGGGTAGAGTGCTTTAGAACACCTGTATTTGTGAATTAACTAGTATTTTAAGTTGCATTTTTCCTATTGAATTATACGTACGATCACTGTTCTCTTTTAGATGTTATGTATGGGTAGGACTCTTAAGAAAATAAGAAAAATGTATGGTTGAAGATAAGGTCTGTGTTGCAAGCTTAACCTTTTCATCTAGAATAAATAATGTTGATGTTTTGATAACTCATGTGGAATTATATTTGCATCTGAAAGTTATATTCTATATTGGTTCAAGAGTATAAATGCTGTAGCAGCCAGTGATAGGCCTTGTAGAGCTTGACTATTCAAACTGTAAGCACTGTATCTCTTAGAGGCATTTAAGGTTTGCTTTTTTGTTCTAGATTGTACACCATCCACTTAGCAGACATGGAGTTTGAGAAATTAGTCAAAATCAATTTATTTTGACTTATTTAAAAACAACTGCTTAATTATTTCTACTGTATTTTATGTTATAAATTGTTGAAAATTGTTGTGAACTGATGAGAGAATTTTGGCTACTGGGTAATACAAACTATAACAAATCTGTAACATTCTTTAGGCAGTTCACAACTGAAAACTTGCAACAATCTTTACAGCTTGGAGTTAAGTATCCATGAGTGAAAATGAAATGGTGATATTCTTTAGCAGTTCCTCCATAACTCTGTGTATTGCTATGTGAATTGTGTGTGAGTCACACGGTTGGAGGGACATCTTTCTAGGACACCATGTAGCTGAACACTGAAATTCAACTCAGATTAAGAACACTGCAAAGTAAACGGAGAAAAGCAACATCTCCATTAGGAGCAGGGGCAGCATATAAATGCATAAACAAACAAACAGACAGACATCTCTGAACATATGCTGGGTTTTTATTTTTTGATTACTGTGTGCCTTTTGACACAGATCTAAAGCCGCCAGTTGCTGTACGGCCAGGGTAGGCTTGTGCGCTAATTTATATAATACAAATTTTCAGCCCCATGTAATGTCACCCATGATCATTAGATTTTAGGCAAATGCTCATACTCTGACTTCCCTATAGAGCAAGGCTGGGGAACATGTTCTCCAGATTATGCTGGACTTCAGCTCCTATCAGCCTGAGCTAGCAGTAGTCTGGTGCCATCCGAAGAGCCACATCCTCCTCACCTTTACTATGGAGTGTTTTTCTATCACCTTTCATAATGCAAAAGTGGATAGGATTTCTGAGAAAAAGTCTGATTGCAAAACAAAGTAGATTGCACAATTAGCCCAGGTTAGATAAACATCTGTAATACAAAAGGGAGCTGTTCCTTATTTTTAGAGCACTTACTAATTTTTGTCATAATAAGATCCCCCAAATCAGTGTCTGTTTGGTTCTTCCTGTGCCCCATGTTATTCCAACAGCTACCTTGTGAGCTTAGACAGAAGCTGGTTCAAAGTCCCCCTGCGAGCTACATGCCGAATAGGGATCTGAACTTAGATTTTCCACTGTTCTAGTCTGACACTTTACCTGCTACATCACATCTCTTGTTTAGCCATACTATATGGCAGTTCCCTCTGTCCCATAAGAAAGGGCTAGAGTATAAGAGAAGGGAAAGAACAGATCTTGAATATAGGGGTCCACAATAAATGTTAAGTTAAAATTATTCTTAGTAACTTTCTCTGTAAGACCCATAATCAGTTTTGGATGAAGCATTATTTAATATTTGCTTAGACATGCCAAGTGCAGGAGGAGAAATGCAACAATTGCAGTGGATCACTAGAATTCTAATCATGAAATTGAGCAGGTTTGCTCTTTGTTAAACTGTTCAGACCAATCTCCAAAGCTTTCCTTGGCACTTTTCTGTTTTCAGTCAGGCCATTTGTCGTGAGCGTTTTGTTTGCTAAGGTCAGTGGTCTGTGTACTGCATTCTTTCATGGATGCAGTTAGAATACAGAAGCTGAGAAATGTTTCAGCAAAGCTGTCTTATTTCTGTATGGGGAGGAGCTCTGCATTCTCTTGATAAGACTGCAGTTTCCTCAACTTGTGAATGTTTGGATAAATTATTAACTAGAGTAAGAATGGCATTGTTGGGTGTATGTTTTTTGGAAGGTTGGGGTTGGATTAGAGAAATAATAATCAAGCTGGCAGTAATGTGAGGAGGAGGTCAGCTGCCCCTTTAAGCAGTGTAGCTAAACTTGTTTTAAAACAAGTTTCTGGTTGAGACAGCCTGGCTGGGAATCTGCATTACTGATTGATAATGGGCAATCATAATGTGTCCCAGAGAGGCCCAGAATGCAACCTCATAGGGTGGTATACTTCCAATGTAAAGTGAATATTCTTTCTGCAATCTTTCCTGGCATGTTTGTACATTTGAAAACCTGTTTTGACTAGGATAATTTATTTTTGTACTGGTTTCTGTACTTTGAACTCTGATTTTAATATAATATTTTATTATTTAACTTTGGCTTTTAAATGGTGTTCATCATATCCTTGAGATAAGATGGAAAATCAATGCAAGTGTTATCCATTTATTCAAAAGCCATTTCCCTGGAGGTAGCATTTAATGATGTTTAATGCTGAGAATAGTCAGATGGTGCAATCCTGTGTATGTTTAGACAGACAAAAGACCTATAGTTGTTGGCTTACTGTCTGCTCATGCAGTGCATGGTGCCTTAAGAAACCCAGTGTGCATGTTACTGTGGGAGTTCCTGGGTTGTTTAAACTAGTTATTGTGAGGACAGGCAGTGTGTGTGAACAGTGAACTTGCTTAATTGGGAATCAAGGAATGTCTCTTAGTTTCATAATAAGCAAACCTAGAAACTCCAGGTTGTTTGTGGGTTAAGCCAGAGTTAACCCAAGGAGAAAGCCATGGGCAATTTTGAACAACCCAGAATTCCAGGTTCAGTGTCACAAAACAACACAACAAAAGGGCATTAAATTAAATGGAAATAAGTTCATAGGTCACACACGCTCCTTGTTCACCCAGGAATTGTTGCTATGACATGTAAAAAAGGTTCCTGTTTCTTCCTATTCCTCTGGGTTTAATCCTAAATACACCTATTAGGCAGTAAGCTATAAACCCCATTGTAGATTAGTTTGTACATACTGACAGCCCATGGATTATCAGGAAGAAGTGGAAGAAAGCAGGTGCATCACCTGCAAGAGGCCTGCTACCTTTGCTTTTGTTCAGCAGCCAATGAGCAACTCCTCTGTAGGTTAAAAAGGTAAAGGTTTCCCCATGACATTAAAGTCCAGTCATGCCTGACTCTAGGGGGCGGTGCTCATCTCCATTTCCTAGCCGAGGGAGCCAGTGTTTGTCTGCAGACAGTCTCCGTGGCCACGTGGCCGGCATGACTAAACACCAAAGTGCACGGAATGCTGTTACCTTCTCACCGAAGTGGTACCTTTTTATCTACTTGCATTTGCATGCTTTCGAACTGCAAGGTTGGCCGGAGCTGGGACAAGCAACGAGAGCTCACCCCATTGTGCGGATTCAAACTATCAACCTTTCGATCAACCAGCCCAACAGCTCAGCAGTTTAACCCACTGCACCACCCGCATCCCTCCTTTCTAGGTTACTGCAGACCTAAGCCTGGACTGCTGGATTCTTCGGGAGCTAAGCAGCCCAGTGTTTAACCCAACTGCAAATGCTGTTTAAGATAGATGCATGAAGTATAAGCTTCTCTTTTGAATGGGCCCATAACAGTCTGGGCAAAGGAAGGTGCTTGATGATAAAAGGATATAAATGAGGAAGAATAGTTCCTCACTGCCAGTGGAATTGTTATTGGATGGGTGAAGCATTTCAGTAAAGGAGCTGAAATAAGCCCCTTTCATAAAGCCAAAACCAGGGGATGCACTGCTATGTTAGGAAGGCAAGTCATCAAGAGTCAAGGCACTTCAAGGATTGGAACCAGTGAAGCTGAGCTACTGATATTAGCAAAGGAAGACACAGATGGAACTGAAAGAACAAGATGATGTGGTAGCTGTTGGACTGAGGAGGAGTGAAATAGCATGCTTGGATATGAATTAGGACTGGCCAATCCGGTACTTGTGGGCAGAGCCCAGGAGCTACAATAAAATAGCTGATCAGGTCCAGAAGCTTCCCTGATATTCCAGGTTCATTGCTGGCAAAGGTGCTTCAATATGCAGAATCATGCTTCGGGGCACCAACATTTGCATGCAAGAGATGCAATATCTTTGAAGAATCTGCTACCACTGAAATTCTTGGCAGAAACTGGTACTCAAATTGCACTTCTTAGTGGTGGAGCATTGAAAACCCAGCTTTCATTTTCCTCTAAGTTTGCTTTGGTGTTTTTGTGTGGTGTGATTTATAAGCTGCTGTGTTTGACCAAAGTATATTTATGGCATGGGAGGCCAGTGTCTTTAAGTAAGTGCGTGTGTCTTTCAGGTGTAAAGTAGGAAATTAAATTTAAATCTCAAAAGCTGCACAGACAGAGGCTGTTTGAATCTTCACCATGCATATTTTTGGTGTTGGGGCTCTGCTGGGAGGAAAAATTACCTTGGGACAGAATGTAGAAGTGGTGGGGAACTGGCAGGCAGGGGTGGGGTTCATAACTTCTGACCCTTCTGAGCTTTACATTGCACCTGCCCAGACGTTTCCCATTTTAGATGCAATTGGGACAGACTGACATTTAAAGACATGGTTTGCTGCTGTCAGTTATAAGTTCATATAGCCTGCCTCAAGGCCTTTTCTGGATTGAGTTTGCTTTTGTTTATATATATGATTTCAAGGGTGTGTGTGTGTGTTGTGGAGATGTCTTCAGAGGATTCTTGGCATCCTTTTTTCTCATGCTGTGCCTCAAAGTTGATTTTTTTCTGTTTAATTTGGAAGATAGCAAGTATGAATGGACATATTTTAGAAGTACTGCTTTAATATAGTTTTTAATGTAAATGCACAGTAAGTATTCTAACGCTTTGAAGTGTAGTATTGGAGCATGCAGTGTTATGCTTGTAATGACAATGAAATAATCAGAATGCCACATTAAAGGAAATCTATTCCAGCAATCTGTACTGTCAATATGAAAAGAGCATGAAAAAATGAGCAAATAAGGGTATCACAAGAATTTATTCAGAAAATGCAAAGGAAAACCAGTTTGCATTGTCGTCTTTGCTCTGATTCCCCCTCCTTCCATTTTGGGAAGAAGATACCTCATCAGTTAGTAAATGTCTAGGTGCTGCCTCAAAGCAGCTTTTAACTTCAGTAACATCTTCTGTATGTACTACATTTTCTACTGTGAATCCACCCAAGGAAATCAAGTTATTCTGAGCCATTGTGAATGGCCTTGGACTAACACTTATTTTAAATATTGTACACAAATGTTTTTCTTGCAACGTTCTACACATTACCTGATTTTATATTTAAAGATGCAGTGAAATTTCTGAGGTGAACAAAATGGGAAATTCATTTACTAGAATGTATACCTCACCTTTGCTGCAAGTGACAGCTTGCAACCATAACAAAAACAAACAAAAATGCACTTGAAACAGTTAAACTTTGGGAATGAAAGCAGCAGAGTTAGCAGATAAAACTGCAGATGAGAACCATTAAAATTATATCCTTAAAAGGAGGGGAGAACAGGATGGATTTTGCCTAGAACCAAAAAGGTAATAAGGCAAGAGTGCCAGGCAAAGCTATCTGGGAAGGAATTCTGTAATTTGACTGCCACCATGGGAAAGACCTTCCCTCTAGTAGCCAGACAGATGCTGTGTAAAGGTTTAATTAGAGAAGTGAGTCTAGCCAGTTACTGGATTGTGGGGCTGAATATTGTTTTTTAATTGCTTCATCTGGCCCCAAATCTTAGGCATTGTTGTGAACAGGTCCCATCCCTCTTTTCCTACTGTTTATCAGCCTTTGGTCAGTGAACTCCTGCTTCCTGCCTTCTCCTCTGAAGCAGACAAATCTATATGAGCAGCCTGTAATGAACAAGAGATGGGCCCACGCTCTATAGGCATCTCTTTCTTGTGTGGAGATGTAAGAATGGTTAACATCACTGGTGGCAATTTGGTAGGAGAACAACTTCCCTATTGTGGTCTTTTGGTACCAGGTGAAGCCCCTTTTATTTTCCCAGGCTTTTTAGTCCTATAGTTTGACAAATGTTCTTAGCAGTTTTCTAGATCTTGGTACTTCTGCTGGGTTTTATCTTGGTTACTACTCTGGTGGTTTTCTGTTTTAAACGTAAGATTTTATATTATGTTTTACTGTGTTGCTGTATTTTATGGTTTTAAGGCATGTATTGTAAAACACTAATGGGAGGTATGGAATGTAATACATATGGCTAATGGGAGGTATGGAATGTAATACATTCACAAACAACAGGATTAAGCATTTGTTGAGCAAGCAACATTCTCTGTGCCTACAGTTTGTCTAGTATTTCAGTCACCAATGAGCTTACCTATTCACTGTGTAGATGGTTTATGCTCTCTGGTGAGCAGGGTGGCATGTAATGAAATTCAATGCTGTTAATTGGCCTTACATAAAAGCCTGCTTCTTCATTTCAATGGAACTTTCAAAAGCTGCACTTGAAAAATTAAATGGAGGATATGTGAATTTATTGTACTCTGCTCATTTAACCCTCAGTAACCTTCAATGTATTCTAAGTTCCATTTTGCAATCAGCTGAGATGACGCTAAGGAACATAGAGAACTTCCGTGACACTGAATCATGATGAGTGTACATCCTTTGCCATGGTTTGGATTTAATTCAAATGATTATAACTTGAAAAAATTACAGCGCAAATTAATTTAATCTTTATAATTTAAGCATTGTTTTCCAACTTCTAAGATCAAATTTGTTTCCTTAAAGCACTCTATCCTAGGAAATGTAGTTCTGCCTATGTCTTTGATAGGTCAAGCATTTATATTGGTTGTGTGGAGGCACTACCATTACATTACCATCGTTTGTTATCTCTGAACATGGTAGCTCTCTAAAGACCCTCAGATCTTTCTTAGATTTGGAGAGAGAATTTAATAAAATCCATCTTATTGTTTTATTTGTGGAAGGGGCAGATATATGAATAAACAAATGTTCCTCTTCTCATCATGCCCTAGTTTTGCCTTAACATGGATAACCTTTCATATTTGCCCATGATCTCTGGTTTTAGTACTTTGCATGTTTAGCCATTTTTGTGCACATAGTCAATTTAAGTGTGTGAGAGAAGAAGCTTCCAATGTGAACAGAATTTATTATTATTGTCAAGTAGCATGAATAATTGTAAAAGGATAAAAAGTGGAAAGGTACCAATAGCAAGAGAAAGAAAGGAAAAACATTCAGGTGCACAACTTTTTTGAAAAAGGCATCCACTCATTTTGAACTGACTTCTTCCTTAAGGGAACTATAAATATATGCAAGCAATTTGTGCCTATTTTAATAATGAAACATATTAATCTTTGCTCTTGATAAAAAGTTACAGCTGGCCACAGTCCCATTTTTGGTAGAAAATGTGGATATTAAATACATAAATAAACTTGAAACAATACCCTTAATAGTTATGTTTTTATTACATTTCGCACAAATGGCTTGTAAGAGTTTCCTGCTGTTTATATGCATAGTTTCCGTGAGGAAGAATGGGGTGGGGGTGGGGGGGGTCAATCAAACCAGTTTTTCCTGGTGCAACAGGAGGCTCAGAATATATGGCCACTTTTTAAAAAATTCATGTGTAAAATACATGTTATGTATCAGGGTGGCCAAACTGCTGAGGCTCATGAGCTGCATGTGGCTCTTTGAGTATATTTTGTGGCTTGTTGCTCACGGCGCGCAGGCACCCACTTGCTGCTCACCACCTGCTGTAACTGCCTACAGGCACCCGCGTGCAGCTCTCAAACATCTGATGTTTACCCTATGTGGCTTTACGGTTGAGCAGATCTGGCTATCCCTGTCAAATATGCACCACATTTAATGCCAGTGTGGTGTAGTAGTTAATAGCATGGAACTGGGACTCAGGCAGTCTGGGTCTGAGTCTCCTCTCAGCCCTGTGGCCAACTGGGTGATTTTAGTCCAGTTGCAAATTCTCAGCCCAACCTACCTCACAGGGATAAAGGAATAAGATTGAGAGCAGGCAGAGGAGAATAATGTTAAGCCATTTTGAGTTCTTTGTTAGAAAAAAGGTGGGATATAAATCTAATAACAAACAAACAATATAAATGCAAATAATTTATGCATGAGTAAGATTAGAAAAATTGTAAGCTTGTTAAGCTGCTATAGAAGTGATAGTACTGAATTCACCATAAGCTTTCTTCATGGAAGGGAAAGGAAGGGAAAAATTCAGATACTACCATCTATTTCTTTTTGAAATAGAGTGTGCTTCTGTAGCAGGCAGCTTGTTTTTCCCCACGTTCTTCCTGTCTTACAGCCTTTGCATTGTGATGTTTCAGTATTGGCAGTCACTGATCAATAAGAACCCAGAACACTGTGTTGGAGCAAGTGGGGGTATAGTTCATGAGGAGTTACAGTCTTTGATATTGTGACAGAGGTTTCCCATGGGGAAGGCCTTGCTCACCGTGAGAGCTGGAGCTTCCAGGGAGGAGGGGTGCATGGCTCTAGACTGGCTAAGTAAAAGCAGTTAAACTCCTGACGAGCCCTTGATTATTACTGGCCTCAAGAATTATCTCCTTATGTGAGTAGTGCAATGCCAAGGTAAGTAGCTTGCATACAAGTGCAGCAGATGCTAAAATAAGAATAACAGTCTCCAGTTAAATTGTGTTGGCATCAGTAATATGCATATATTGGCTAAGACAAGATAGTAAATGATCTGGTTCCAGCAACATTGCTATCCATCCAGGTATTGAAATATGTTGAATGAATTCTGTAATTACTGCAAACTTCTTTACACTTTAGGATGAAATTTCTGACGTTAGCCAAGCAGGTTCTAAATCTACTACACCAATCTTAACTGCTGCTTCAGATGTGCTTGCACCTGCTGGATTTCCCTTAAATGAAGACAAGGAAGGGCTTGTGAAGAACGTGGACACAGAAGATAAAAAATTGGATATAAGTAAGCACATTGAAGTTCAGGTAGCTCAAGAAACCCGAAGTGTATCCATTGGTAAGTTGTTATAATAGGTTGTAGACTGAAAATTATATTTTGAGCAATTTAAAACCCAAGTTTATCTAATCTTAAATATTAAGAAATCAAAATGTGTGTATGTGCACAGTGTGTTCCAGAAGAGTAGTTACCTGTTAATGTTTAGAAAAATGTACATATTATACACAGGGAACAGCTTCACATAGGAAACAGCATAAAAGTCATGTGTACATGGGTTTGTGTGATTGGACAGAAGCTTATTTCAGTGTCTTTGCAAACTCTGAGAAGACAAAATCATTCACAGCTTCCAAATCTAGTGAAGTCCAAATGTTTAAATATGTCATACTTAAAGATCCATGTATTCCATGACCTTCCCTCAGTGATAGATGGGTTCTGATGACAAAATAACCAGCACCTGGCTTGAACAATTAATGGAAATAAGACATGTTGCAATCAAGTTTTCTTTTAATTGTCACATTGCTTTTAACAAAATATTTACTACTTGCATCCTAAGGTTCTAATGAAAATGAAGACAAATCTGAAGTTCAGGCAATCATTGAATCCACTCCAGAGTTGGATATGGATAAAGACCTTAGTGGATATAAAGGTTCAAGGTATCTTGCTGAGAACTTTTAGTTAATGAAGAGCTTAGGAAAAATGCCAAAGCTACATCAGAGTCCTCTGGTGATGTGTGGGTTTGATCAAATGCCAGAGTCATCAGGGACTCTAGGGCCCATCCTGTTATTATTCAGGGTGCCTGGGAAAGTTGGAAGCAGGCCTAATAAGGTGTCAAGTTCTGCCTAAGGTCTTTACTTGCATGCCTCACTGCATACAGCCCTGAGCTGCCAAGAAGGTCAAAGCAGTGTGTTGTTCAGCTGATAGTAATACTGTATTCAGACTCTCCCAGGACAATATGGGCAGTGGGGTAGAGATTATCATGCAATTTCTGATCTTAAAGTGTGCAGCAGAGGGGGAATGGCTGTATTTCCTAGCATTCTCTCCATTGTGTGGATAGCTGTAGAGGAGTGGGAAAACAAAGAAGATGAAGTTAAAACAGGCACAATGGGGAGACAAGTGTGAACTTATAGTTGATAGGAGGCACCTAGAACCATGTGAGTATGTTGTGCTGGAAGGGAAGCATTATCTTGAGATCCCCTGCCTTTTTCCAGTTAAGGGGCCCATCTCTGGTACATTCGTGCCTCATCATACTGTAGTCACGACTGTTTGTAAGACTTTGAGGAATGAGCAGGTTACGTTGGCATAACTGTTTATGGGCTCACATTGTTGAATACATTAAGTGGTTTAGAAAGAGACATCCCCCCCCCCACACTGTATGTGTCTCCAGATTGGGGAGATCTTCTAACAACTCTTTTCTCCTAACCTTTAAATTCCAATTCTTTTGTGCAGCACTCCTACCAAAGGCATAGAGAACAAAGCATTTGATCGTAATACAGAATCGCTGTTTGAAGAATTGTCTTCTGCTGGCTCTGGTCTGATTGGGGATGTGGATGAAGGGGCAGACTTGCTGGGTAAGTGGGCATTTGAAAAAACTCAGCTGATTGAATTTTCATTTGTTTTTTCAGTTTAAGAAACATGAAGCTTACAGGTTAAGATGTAAATTGTGGAAAGAAGTACTCAAATAATTAAATTCATCTGTGTTTCTTTTATATACTTGCAAGAATAGTCAGGGCCTTATTTCTTCAGTAGGGTTACTCTCCAATCTCTTAAGCCCAGATGTAAAGCCTAGAGTCCTCTAATGCCCCCCCCCGCCCCGCCCGTTGTATCTGCTTCAGACTGCCTTGCTCTTCAGACCTCCAAACTGAACTTCTGCAGTTACAAGGAAAAGAGACAAGCCCAAGTCTCTTGTCTGAAGTATTTATAAACATAAATCATAAATGTGTCCACTGTTGCCTAAACTCAGTAGATTCTATTTTGATATAAATCAAGCCAGTGGCAGTTCATTGGCTTGCAGGCTGTCTGCCAATATTATCAGCAAGAAGTAGGGCAGGCAGTGCACGAAATCTGAAGGTCAGGAGCCTCTGTAGTAGCACGTGGCTCTGTTCTTGGGTGCATCTCTGAATGATGGATTTTTAAAATGTGAGCTGTTTCCAAACACCATATTTTCTTCCTTTGGTCACCCTCTAAAATATTAGAACAAATGGAAAAATCAATCCCATTGTTAAATATTCTTTTAAGATTCTAGTTGGAAAATGACAAGGGTTTAGATTGTGAAAACTGCAAGTGTAAGAAAAGGAGCAATCACTTGCCTGTCTCTTCTCCTGTTCAATTTGAAAAAAGTGCTTCATTGGAGGACCCTCCTCAGCAGAATGGAATGGTCTCTGTGTGCGGGTGGGCAGTGGGGGGTGCAGCTGGAAGGAGGAATCCCCCAGTCAGAGGGGGGCAAGGATTGTAAAATCTCATATTTGCAGTTACAAGTAAATTACAGATTTGATTTTAGCCAAAAGAAGGTCCTTATTTATAAACACAAGATTCTATATGTACTATTATAAGGAAGCTGTTTTCAATTATGTTTCCAGCTGGTAAGGAGGATAACAAAAGCCTGCTTGTGTTGACTCTCAAACTGGGTACCAGAATTCTGCTTGTAAGAGTTAGAATTTTGGGATGATGGCAGCTCAACTATAATTGTAACTTTTCAAGTTAAATGAGCACCCTTCTTTTCACTTCATCCAGACATCTGAAACTGCCTCTCCTGTGTGCCCATATGTGTGCATGCAGAACCATCTTGTAAGGTGAAGATATTTTTGAAAATCTGCCATGGCTGGTGTTGTGGAGGCTTGATTGAGGTTTCGGATAAAACATTACTGATGTTAGCTCTAAACCTTCATATAAGCCTTTGCTAAAATTATATTTTCTTAGCAGATCCTTGCTTTTGAGCAGGTAGTATGACCTTCACTTATCCACTTCATACTCCATTTTTATTTGAGTTTTTGTATTTAAAAACAGACTCTTCTTACTTAGCTTTTGGGTGGGTGTTCCTGTAAATGCTAATTGAGCCAGGAACATACATATACATTCAGTTTTCTTTTCCTGGTTCTCTGAAATTCATTTGGCTGCTCGAATAAAGATGGGTTTCTACCAAGAAGCATTACCAGCTGAAAGAGAGGCAACTGGCCCTTGCAGTGTCCTTTCCATGGGTTTCTTAGCAGGTTGCTCTTTAAGCTTAAGAATGTCCCTGGCAAGAGACAGAAGAAATACAACTAGGATGGCATAGATGAGCTTTTTCAAACCCGGTGCCCTCCAGAGGTCTTAGACTCAGACTTTCATCACCCCTTGCAGGCATATGCTAGCTGGCTATGATAGGAGTTGCTGTCCAATATGTTAGGCTTGGCAAAAGCGTTAATGTATAGTGCTGGTATTTCCCATCCTGCTGAACATCTTTTGATTAGCTTATTATGGGAGTGCCAGTTGTGCTAGTGATTTCATTAAAGCTAAATTTTCTTAATTTCTGTAAGATTAGAAAATACAGTGCATTATATGCTTGATAGTTTAAGTGGTATTAATATACACTTGGTATCTTCTTCAGCGATATTCTGTGGCTCTACAAATGTGCCTTTCTGTCTGCTTTCTTCCTTTTGACCTGTTTTGCTTGTGCGGGTGAGATGAATAATCTGAAACCTAAGCAGAAGATGAAGGTAGTAAACTATGAGGCCTTTCTCACAATTGAATGGCCCTGGTGGGCTGCAGCATCTCCTGGCAATCAGTTTGATTATTCCACCCTTTCCTGTGGCTTGTCATGTTGTATGAACTTGGGACTGTGGTTTGTGTGAAGGCTTTTAACTTTCACAAAACCCATGTCTCCCATGTTTGCACCAACCATGACTGTGTCTTGTATACCCATGTTGCATTGATTGTGCAAGTCAGGTCCATATTTGGGAAGCCTGGAACCTTTTCATTTGGGAGAGAGCTTTCCAGATGTTCCTTCCCCTAGAAGTTGGATGAGGTAATGACACTATTTCCCCTTGCTTTATGTGGAAAGCAGTACCTTTGGGCCCTGAACAGTGATTATACCGTTCTGAAGAGGCATCAGGAGATAGAGTTAGAGGTCTTGCAGTTAAGGCATGGGCTCAGATAATAGCTGGAATGGTAATATTCTCTGGTTTTTCCCTGCTACCTTTAAGCATGCAGCCATGGTGGACATCTTATTAACATGCCCATCATGGTTGCATGCCTTATTATTATTGAGGGATGTCTTACAGTTGTTAGGAACTGAAGGAAACAGGGCCAAAAGGGCCTACAGTGGACAGAGGTAACAAAAATGAAAAGATGAGCAAAGCTCTTTGGGAAAGAATGTAGCCAGCAGTGGCCACATTCCCTACACTTTCATGATCAACCACAGGCTTTATGAGTGCAGGTCTAAATCTATGTTAATGTTTGAGTGGATCCAGCAACATTCCACCCTATCATGCAAGGTGCTACGACTTGAGTAGGACTTTGTCTCCTCTTTGCCCCATAGGTCCTCCATAGATGCTTTCATTCCTTTAGTGGCAGCCTTCCACATGTAGAAGGACATTTTGACTTTTTTTTATGCATAGCTAATGTGGCATTTTATAGGAGTAAGCATTTAGTGTAATATTGCTTAATCTTAAACCATTCTAGAGAATACCATTTTTTGTCATATGTCTTGTGTAAATAGAAGTAAAAGTGCAACCCCATCTTGTTTATACAGAAGCTCTACTGAATTCAATGGACTTAATGTGAAGCAAGTGCGCATTTTATAAAAATGCTTTGTATTAGTTGTTTGATATGCTATGTGTCAGCTATTTGACTTACAGTTCACAGTTCCACAAAATTAGTTAAATGGGATTCTCCAATCTGTTTTCTCTTGGGCTGCATACCCAGGGGAATATTCTGGTGTGTATGCTTTTAATATATTCAGGAATAATTGCTTTGAAGTTCAGTATTCTTGGCTGCTGCTCTCATAATGTGTGTTATGCGTTCTGTTTCATTTTTACCTTGCTTGGTGTCCTTACCCCGCTTCCCTTCTTTTAAAATTTGCCTGATACTTGTTTTTCTGTTAGGGATACCAGCAGTTAAAAGTGTAGTGCAAATAAGAGAGGGAGATTTTTTTTGGAGTGGGGTATGAAAAAGATCTAAAACCTTGCAGCCATTAATGAAGAAAAGTTCTTTTTTGCATACATTGGTTCCAGCTCAAATTCTGTTATGTGAAAACTGTGCATTGTGAAGAGATAGAAATGAGCATAATTCCTGGAGGAATCCTTTTGTAATGTCCACTATTTCTGGATCACTTAGTACAGGACAAAGGGCTCCTCCTCTTATCTTAAACACAAGCATGTAGCAGACACATTGTAAGATGCAAGTTAAAGTGCTGGGGAGTTGGAGGATGAACATAATAGAATGCAGTACTGTTACACTGAGCAAACGAGAGCAGGGAATTTCTGCTGCCCACATACTGAGAACAAAAGTATGACATGGTGTATCCTTGCGGCTGGGTTGTTGTTTGTGGGTCTGATGCAGCTTTTTAGTAACCTTGAATGGTAATTTAAAACAACATTCCCTTGGCTTTAATCAAGGTGCTATCAGCTTTAGTGTTAGGGAATATGGTACTTACCTCTCAAGGGCTGAGAAATGCTTGGTATGCATAAAAAGTTCAGAAGCAAGGTTTTGCTTTGCTCTGGTAATGTCCCACACAACTTTACTGTGCACACAGATGTTCCGTGCACATTCCAGTACAGATGTGTGGTTTCTGTGTAAGCAGAGGTGTCTCTCTCCCCCCCACCCCCAGCTTCATAGAAAATCTCATTTACTCTGGAACTCCATGTGTGCTTTGAAGCTTATGTGAGGCTCTGAATAAGAATACTAGCCCTGTTTTCTTAAGGCACCTGCTTATTCTCATTCACTCAATTTGCAAATATGTATCTGTTTCAATTATATCTTTTAATGGGTGCTAACTTTCCTTTACTGTAGAACGCTTGAGAGTGATCCTTTGGCCCCTAAAGAGTGCCTAGGCGACCGTAGGATACTTTGGATTTTCACTGCCAAGCTTGCAATAAGAGCCCAAGTCTCAGAGCCAGGAATCCATACCTTGATCCAACTCCTGTAGCTGACATGGAAAGAACATAGAAACATAGAAACAGAGCGAGGCAGAAAGAGCCTCCCAGGCCATCTAGTCTGACCCCTGGCTCTAGTCAGCTCCACTCAGGGCATGCCCACCATGTCTAACCTATCCTTGAACACCCTCACCAATGAGGCCTCAACCACCTCCCATGGAAGTCCATTCCATGCCCTTGGGGTCCTAACTGTCAGGAAGTACCTCCTGGCATCCAAGTTGAACCTTGGTTCCCTGAGCTTGGCTCCGTTGGAGCATGTCCTGCCCTCTGCAGGGGAGAACTGGTCTCTACCCACCTCCATGTGACACCCCCTCACGTACCTGTATGTCGCCAACAGATCCCCTCTGAGTCTCCTCCAGGCTGAAAAGACCCAGTTCCCTCAGTCTCGCCTCATACGGCTTCCCCTGCAAACCGGCCACCAACCTTGTGGCCCTACGCTGCACTGAATCATGGGGACTGCTTTTCAGAGGTTGGAACTGCACTGATTCATGGGGCCTGCTTTTCAAAGGTTGGAAAATTGACCTTGAGGAAGGAGAAAGGGAGGCAACTGCCAGGATACGAGGTATCCTGATGGCATTCCAGGCTCCTTCCCCTCCAAAATACTGCCATTAGATGACTGAAATTGTGAGGCATTTCAGAGGGGAAGGAAGCTGGTGTGCCAACAAGACACTTCATACCCTGGTGGCTCCAGGCTCCTCCCTTACCTGCTGAACCACCCCCTTTAGCTCTTTTCCAAGGTCAGTATTCCTCAGAGAAACAGCTACTGCTTTCTTTCAGTGCTGGTTGTGAGGGCCAGCTGTGAAATCAGCTGTCCGGCTCAGTTGCATAGTGGGAGGAGCAGGGTGGTGAGGAATGCCTCCGCCATTTCCTCCACTCTGCACTGGATGCAGAGGCCAGGGTGCAGTTGACAGGACTTGCGCAACCTTGGGTGTGAGTTGGCATGCTGTGGAAACCCGGTTGTTTGAAATGCTATACTCTTTCAAAGACCTGTAAAGTTATAACCCGTGAATATGTCCTTTCTCTCTTTAATGAAGTAGCAAAAATCATTGTTTGGAATGAACATCATTATAGGCATCTGTGTACAGTTTTGGTTGTCACTTCTCAAAAAAGAGATTGTAGAGGTAGAAGAAATACAGAACAAAACTACTATAATAGTTAAGAATGTGTCATTTTGAACTTTTTAGTTTAGAAAAAGAAAAAAGTATGATGCAATGCAAATTTACTAAGCAAAGCATGATAAGGAAATAGTGGATAGACTTCTTTTGGCCTTCTATTTGGGAAACAGATGAATCCATGCTGTTTTATTTATGGAATTTATATCATATCATTTATGAACAAATTGTAAGAATTGATTCAAGGCAAACATAGTAAAGATGTCACCTGGTTGACTTACTGAAGCTAAAGGGCCAAGCTTTTGTGCCCTGCTTATAGACTTTTGGGAGATATCTGGCTAGTCATGGCTAGAGGTGGTTTGCTGACCTAGAGAGATCTTTGGCTGCTCTTAGGTTCTCAACAATATTTTTGACACTGCTCTCTTTTAACTGTTTGTCTTGCTGTTGGCCTGCTTAAATTCAAAACATATTTGGCTTCAAACATTTAGTACTTGCTTTGCTGTGAAATCATACGTATCTCTCAAATCTTTCATCTTGTACTGTGCCTCACCTATGCTGCTCTCCTTACATGAAATATTTCTTCTTCTTTTTGCTCTTCATGGGATGCATGGGCTTTAAAGACCATAATTTCTTTGGTAAGGTATCATCTCATTTGGGGAACATGTGCAAGGGCTTTGCATTGTCTTTGAGCTTCTCATATTCAGCATCTCTTCTCTGTGATGTAAGTGACATATTTGAGGGTTAAACATGTGCAGTAGTCAATATGCAGCAGTTTAATACAATTAATTCCCCCTTTTTAAAAAGTTAGGGCATTCAAAATATTTGACAAGTAAACTGGCAATATTTTGCATTATACATCTAGGATTCAGAAAGTGTGCGCACTGAATGCTTTAAAAACTTTGCAGCAAAATGTAATAATGTTTGCAAACTAATCTGTTTAGCAGTTATGAGCACGCAGGTTTCTCTGAAACACATGGAACATATCTGTGCAGGCCTTGCTTTCATTTCAGTGGAAGAAGCTAATATGCATGCACAGTCCCTTGTGTGTATATAGGCCAGTATCCTCCACTGAAATGAGGACAGGTCCTGTTTGTGTACTGGCTCCACATGAACCTTGGAGCTCACATTGAATTCTGAATCACAACATGTAAGGTGACATTTAATGTTCACAGTGGTGATTTCAGTATTTCTGAATTATTTGCTCTGTTCTTTCTTTGAAAGGAATGGGTCGTGAAGTTGAAAACCTTATCTTAGAAAACACACAACTGCTGGAAACCAAGTGAGTAATAATTTTTCTGCTTTTAACTTCAGAATTAATTCAGCATGCCTATTACTTGAATTAATCAAGGTGCTCTATGTGATTGTTAACTGATAATGGTTACCTATTCCGCAAAGCCACTTTTGATCTTTATGAACATTTTAGCAGAGAGATGCAGCCTAATTGGTGCAGTACTTTGATCCTTAATGCAGAATGAATAGACTAGCTTGTCTTGATTTTTTTACATGGATTCCTCTAACATAAGAATTACTGGAAAGGTGCAGTGAATCTTTGCACACCAGAAGTTGGGTTCATGAAGTTCATCTGACTGGCAGTATCTTTAGGACAATCAGAAGGAATTTTCATGTATTAGTATTTATATGCTACTTCATGTAATGGTGGTATTCTCTGTAAGGATCAGTGGCTTTAAAAAGGGATTAGACATATTCAAGGAAGTTAAAGTTGAAGGGTACCAATAATAATTAAAAGGTCATTAGCTATGCTTGCAAAGAATTGAGCCTCCAACTCAGCAGTGTAGATGTATGATTATCATATGCTGTAGACAAACAGTAGGAGGTGAATATCACATATTTTACGGTGTTTGAGTGCTAGATTAGACAGACTTTTGCCTGTCTAGTATGGTGAATATTAGATAGGCAAATTAGTTGCCATGCCTCATTTTCTATGAGATGCTGACTCTGTCCTTTGTGAAGAGAAATGGGAAGCATGATCTTCATACAGCCCTAAAGGAAAAAAGGAAAAACTAATTAGTTGAACAACGAGGCAACAAATGACCTAGATTGGCTGAGTTCAGACACCATGGCAATCTATGGTGGTTTTCTGCCACTGTTGATTTGTCATGTTGTCTGAACCCAGTAATGGTATTTCACCCCAGTAAACTTATTTTGTTTAGAAACCATGATAAGAAATTATGGCTTGTTCTATAGTTTCTCCATACCACCATGACTTTCTGTATTGTCTGAACCCAGGATCATGGTTTTAATGGTCCTGGTATGCAACTACCACAGAGTCTCCTGGAAGGAGCAGAAACTGCAGCAGCCACTCCAACCATCCAGCCTTCATGTGTCAACCAGTGACGAAGAGGCGGGCAACATAGGCCAGAAGCAATGCACTTAGGCGGGCAACATAGGCAGGAAGCGGTGAAATTAGATTGAATTTCCGCAGTGTCTAATGGGATGCTTGCCAACAGTGGGAGGGACTGAGTGGGGAGAATGGAAACCACAATAAAGTCGAAACCCACAATAAAGTCGAAACCAATTGATCATGTGTTGGTTAGGCTATGGAAAAAAAAGTGAACCATGGTAATCATGTGGGGTTGCTTGTCATGTCATTTGAAAGCAGCCATTATCTACTCTCTTACAGTTTGGTCTGAGAGATGCTATCTTGCCTAAAATCACCCAAACATTTCACGAGTGTAGTAAGTTTTAAATTTACATGACACCAGGTTTCTGGTTAAGTATAGTGGTACCTCAGCTCATGAACTTAACCCATTCCACGACTCTGATAGCTACCTGAGATAGCTACCTGAATTGGTCGCGAGCCAAGTCAAATTTCTCCATAAGGTTCAATGTAAATAAGGTTAATCCATTCTCTAAATATTTTTTTTTTAATCACAGGGAAGACGGGCGCGATCACGGGCGCACTCGGGGAAGATGGCCATCTCCCCCCCAAGCACAATTGCGGCCATCTCCCCCCCCACTTCCCAGGCACCACCATGATCACACCTGTCCTCCCTGCACAAGTGCGACCACAACCGCGATCACAACCATCTCCACCTCCCCCGAGCATGACCACGATCGCGCCTGTGCAGGGAAGCCTGGCATGATCGCGATTGTCACCAATACGGAGTTTGTGACCTGAGTCAACATTTTTCTGAAATTTCTGTTCGCAACCCAATTTGGTCGTGAACTGAGGTGTTTGTGAGCTGAGGTACCACTATGCTTGCTTAAATTACATTAACTTCCCTTAGCAAAACAATTACAAGAAATTAACATTAAAATATCATCTGTTGAAGTATCATTGCAGAGCATGTGCATTTAAAGTGATTTTTGTAAGGGAGGGCAGAACTTTTAATTGCTTGAATTCCTATGATAGGGAATGCTTATTTATTGTACCGCTTTGATGCTGCTTAAAACAACGTAATTACAAACCTTTTTTTCTTTTTCATAGAAATGCCTTGAATGTAGTGAAGAATGACTTAATAGCAAAAGTAGATGAACTAACCTGTGAGAAGGATGTGCTGAAAGGAGAGCTGGAAGCTATAAAACTAGCCAAGCAGAAGCTTGAAGAGAAAAATAAGGAATTGGAAGAAGAACTTAGAAAGTAAGTGCAGTTTATTCTTTCTCCCTCTCCCTCTCTCTCGGTGTGTGTATGTGTCACAGAGGAACCCTAAAAGAGCTTCTCTAATTTCTTTGATACTTCATGCATTTTGTTTAGAGCTCGAGCAGACGCAGAAGAAGCAAGGCAGAAAGCAAAAGAGGAGGATGATGTAAGTAACTGTGTTTACAACTTTTTCTTAAGCCTTTTATTTGTGCAATACTACACTGAATTACTCTGTTCTAAAAGCTAACTATTCTGATGTTTTTGTGGAGCTGTTGAGGAGAGGGGCCCATTTCCCCATCCTTTTTTGTGTGTGGCAGTCCTGGAACTTGTCATGCAGTTGGAGAGTGGGTTACAATGGGGCACAGAGATTCTTCTGCTTTTCTCTTCTTCTTTCCAGACACAAAGGAGCCACAAAGGGCTCCTGCTGCTGTTCCTTCCCATCCATTACTGCCCATTGTGCTTGGCATTAAAGGCCCCTGATTCTTTTTTGCAATAGCCATCTGAATTAGCCCTTTTGTGTAGTTCATTGGTAATGGAAGAAGGAAACTCTTCTATAAGCTTTCCTATAATACTTTCTTATCTGATACATGAAGCATGCTTGGCCTTTTCCTTACTTTTAATATGCAGAGTGATATTCCTACTGCCCAAAGGAAGCGATTTACTCGAGTTGAGATGGCTCGTGTTCTCATGGAACGAAATCAGTATAAAGAGAGGCTGATGGAGCTCCAGGAAGCAGTACGATGGACTGAGATGATACGGCAAGTGGAATTTTGGCTCCATATTAGCATTACTATGCCTGATAGAAAAAATCCTTGGCCTAGCCATTTTTCTGTCTAATGTATCATGTGACTTTGAATATATTATTTACTGTTAACATGTTAAAATTCTGGATAGCCGAGAAACAAGCCATACATTTTTATTGCCTAAACCTGAGACTATGCCAGATAAATTCTTTACTTTCATAACTAAAAAAATCTATGACGTGAAAAAACCTAACTTTTTTTTAGTGATAACTTTATTTTTCTAAATAAATTTTAGAGAGGTAGCAGTTTCAAAGTCACCTTTGAAAAAACAAAAACGCCTTCTGTCACCTTAAAGACTAACACCAGCTATTATGATATGAACTTTTGTGGACTTCTACAGCTTTTTAATGTATCTCTTGAGAATCTCGCATCCCTGGAGGTGTACTGTCAAATGATTTGAGCTTAATGCAGCTAGAGAAGTGTGGGAGGTTTATTAAAAAGCTTTTAAATAACTGAACGCTTTTTAATGTTATTCACTGGAAGAGCAATGGATAAGGCTCTGGGCAGAGGGGCAGGTGGAATCTTCCATTGTTTGCTTTGGCTTATATCTGCCTGAGAGATCACTTTGCTTCTTAGGATTCCTTAGCTTTCTAAAAGTGGGCTCCAACTGGATGGAGGGAGTTCCTTTAGGAGTGTGACTTGAGCAGTCCTCTATCTTGTGTGAGATTTGGCTTGTAAATATATGTCATGGCTCTATGGGGGGGGGGGGGGGGTGAGGGGGGACATTATACAATAATATCAATTGTAGAGTGCTGACCGAATCGATCTTTGTTCTTTTCTAAATTCATGTTTATGCTTTCTGTCCTAGCCCTGGAGAGCACCCCAGAGTGGGGCTGTGTGTGACGTGCAGGGAAGCATGTAGCTAGGCAATGGGTGGAAATTACAGGTCAAAGACAGATGAAAGATCAGGAAAGCTACACATCTTCCTTACAATAATAAAATTAAATATTTATACAATGTGTTTTTAATTTGCAAAGTAAGAGCTGGAAGTAAAAAGTAATTCTATAAGCTATAAAAAAGCTAAAGCATAAGAAATAGTAAAACATTGCTAAAATTGGACATTATTAGCTACAGAAAAAGTCAGTTTTTGAATCAACTACTAATATGAATTGCAAGGGCAGGCATTGTAGTATGTTTTATTTGCACCTTTTGCTGTGCAGTTTTAAGCTATGTTTTATAAGTGTTAAAGTATTTGATAAATCTTGTTATCTTATTACTTGTTTGTAGGATTTTCACTTTCATTATTACTTTCTGCTTTATCTTTTTTTGTTTAACCCTTGGAAATTCAAAGCCAGCCTAGATAGCACTGTGGTGAGAATACTGCTCAAAGTGCTGGATGGCTGGTTGGAGGTCCCTCAGATTAGTCCCCTGGTCACTGTTAGCTTTGAAGGGTGGCTTCGGCTTGGTGCGGAGGGGCATGCATGTGTGTGTAAAGTCCCTGCCTGCATGCTTGTGCGTTGGCATGTCTCTTGAGTCTTCCTTCCTCTTTGCTGGAGCATGTGTGGGAGGCTTGCTGTGTGTCAAAGTGCTGGCCCTGTTTTACGTGGTAGTGTCACTGATGTGCCACAAACCTCACTGGGGTCAAATGTGTGAGCCACAGTTGTACATCGTATTTTCTCTAGCAAAGATCCAAATATGTTGAGTGTATATTCTTGCAATGGCTGTGATATAGAATTAACTTCCAGGTCCATTCCCATGTGCCTAAATGTTAGAATAATTCAGGCCCAAAATAAACATGATGGTGGCAGACTTCCATGTAACAGATGAACCTCATCATGTACAGTATATCACAGAAGTGAGTACACCCCTCACATTTTGTAAATATTTTATTATATCTTTTCATGTGACAGCCCTGAAGAAATGGCACTTTGCTACAATGTAAAGTAGTGAGTATACAGCTTGTATAACAGTGTAATTTGCTGTCCCCTCAAAATAACTCAACACACAGCCATCAATGTCTAAACCGCTGGCAACAAAAGTGAGTACACCCCTCAGTGAAACTGACCAAATTGGGCCCAGAGTGTCAATATTTTGTGTGGCCACCATTATTTTCCAGCACTGCCTTAACCCTCTTGGGCATGGAGTTCACCAGAGCTTCACAGGTTGCCACTGGAGTCCTCTTCCACTCCTCTATGATGACATCACGGAGCTGGTGGATGTTAGAGACCTTGCGCTCCTTCATCTTCTGTTTCAGGATGCCCCAGAGATGCTCGATAGGGTTTAGGTCTGGAGACATGCTTGGCTAGTCCATCACCTTTACCCTCAGCTTCTTTAGCAAGACAGCGGTCGTCTTGGAGGTGTGTTTGGGGTCGTTATCATGTTGGAATACTGCCCTGCGGCCCAGTCTCTGAAGGGAGGGGATCATGCTCTGCCTCAGTATGTCACAGTACATGTTGGCATTCATGGTTCCCTCAATGAACTGTAGCTCCCCAGTGCAGGCAGCACTCATGCAGCCCCAGACCATGACACTCCCACCACCATGCTTGACTGTAGGCAAGACACCCTTGTCTTTGTACTCCTCACCTGGTTGTCGCCACACATGCTTGACACCATCTGAACCAAATAAGTTTATCTTGGTCTCATCAGACCCCACAGGACACGGTTCTACTAATCCATGTCCTTAATCTGCTTGTCTTCAGCAAACTGTTTGCGGGCTTTCTTGTGCACCATCTTTAGAAGAGGCTTCCTTCTGGGACGACAGCCCTGCAGACTAATTTGATGCAGTGCGCGGCATATGGTCTGAGCACTGACGGGCTGACCCACCATCCCTTCAACCTCTGCAGCAATGCTGGCAGCACTCATACATCTATTTCCCAAAGCCAACCTCTGGATATGACGCTGAGCATGTGCACTCAACTTCTTTGGTCGACCATGGCAAGGCCTGTTCTGAGTGGAACCTGTCCTGTTAAACCACTGTATGGTCTTGGCCACCGGGCTGCAGCTCAGTTTCAGGCTCTTGGCAATCTTTTTATAGCCTAGGCCATCTTTATGTAGAGCAACAGTTCTTTTTTTCAGATCCTCAGAGAGTTCTTTGCCATGAGGTGCCATGTTGAACTTCCAGTGACCAGTATGAGAGAGTGAGAGTGATAACACCAAATTTAACACACCTGCTCCCCATTCACACCTGAGACCTTGTAACACTAACGAGTCACATGATACCGGGGAGGGAAAATGGCTAATAATGCCCAATTTGGACAGTTTCACTGAGGGGTGTACTCACTTTTGTTGCCAGCAGTTTAGACATTGATGGCTGTGTGTTGAGTTATTTTGAGGGGACAACAAATTTACACTGTTATACAAGCTGTATAGTCACTACTTTACATTGTAGCAAAGTGCCATTTCTTCAGGGTTGTCACATGAAAAGATGTAATAAAATATTTACAAAATGTGAGGGGTGTACTCACTTCTGTGATATACTGTAGGTCCACCTTCCTCAACCTAATGACCAAGAGATATTTTGAGCTACAACTCCCAGCATTCCTGACCATTGGCCATGCTGGCTAGGGCTGATGGGAGTTGGAGTCCAAACATCCGAAGGCTGAAAAAGACTGACATAGGGTGTGTGCATATGCTTGTGTATACATCTATTTGCTGCTGCTGCTGCTTACAGCAAAAGGGTCAGATTTCTTCTCCCTGCCAAACGGTTGCTTAGCTCTGCACAATGCTTCCCTATGTACTTTCCTTCAAATCAGGAGAAAACACACTGCGGGGTACTTCCTGGGTGGTAATCTGCAAGTGATGCATGGATGGGTGCTAGACTTGTTCATGTGGTGTTTTACTTTTTCAAACCAGGATCTGTCCCTCCTGCTCCATCAGCTTGGTTTGACCCTTGTTTTTAATTTCTTCTTGGGGCACTACTATACATAGCATCACATTTTGCTGCCATCTAATGGTATGATGTAATTACTACACCTTAGTTGTTACTAGCCAAATCTAAATGCCAAGTGTGTCTAGTGGAAGAAAACCAAAGTGGGAATACTGAATGTTTTAGAAATTTGAACTTTTCCTGTCCCTCATAGCTTCCCCCAAGTGTTTATTCTTATTGTAAGTTTTCTAGCAATTTAAAAAGTAGCACACTATACAAAAATGTTCTTTATGACTCTGCTGAATTTTGTCCAATGTTTTGCATCTGCCCTAATGGGAGATGAAAAAAATAATGGGTAGATATTCATAGGTATACCTGAACACTGGTTTTGCTAAATGTATCATCATGTGCAAGTATAATGAAATTCTATTTTAAATGCAGATCTCTATTTAGAGTCCATAATTTAGAAATTTATGGAACCTTTAGTTATGCAATCAATTATTGAGTTACACAACCCCCCAAAATTTTATTTTATGGTATTTTGCAATCATGAGTTATTTGTTACTTTGATGTGTAGTGCAGAGCATTCTAGGTCATTTGTTGCCTTGTTGTTCAACTAATTAGTTTTTGCTTTTTTTTTCTTTAGGGCATCAAGAGAAAATCCAGCCATGCAAGAGAAGAAGAGATCAAGCCTTTGGCAGTTGTAAGTACTGAAATGTAACTTAAAAAGGAATATACTGTTTGTCTTTTAGTTTCTTTGGTATCAAGGGGACTAATGACTGCAACCTGTTTTCTTTTTGCTATTTAGTATGCCAACTGGGTAAGAAAGATCTTAAAGATGAAGTGTAGTGTAAGATGCATCTTGCAATGTTGGTTATGCACTTGGCAAAGAAAGATAATTGCTTTAACCTAACTGTAGCATTTAAAAAATAGGAACCAGAATCATAATGAAGCAATTCAGAGCATGGCATAGGAGCTGTCATATGAAATTTAAACAAATTGAAAATTGGAGGTCTTTTGGTGTGGTTTGTGTACAATTTCATTACATGAAACGTTTCCATGTGAGAATTTGTGAACTGCTAATCTGTATTTAACATTTGGTGCTTACTTAAGCTGAATGTGAAAATTACTAAAATGAGAGCCTGTGTTTGATAGTTCTCTGTGTTTTCAGAGCTTTTATCTTTTTTATTTTGCTTTATTTTCTGCAGCAAGTGATACAGGAATATTTTGGCATCTCTCCAGTTGATGAAAGTTCATTGGGCTGGTAGATTTGCAGGGCTATGTTTCTGAGTTGCTGAATTTGGATTCCTCCAGGACTATGTTTCTTTTAACTTAATTGCAGCTGACACACAGAACCCAAATAATTTTTTCCATCCTTACCATGCACTCTGGGGAAACTGAATTTGTTGAGGTTATGAATCTCCCATGTTTGGACTCCCATGTCGAGCCTCCATATTATAGTCATGGTTTCATAGTATAGTAAGATTACATTTTGGTATATATACACATGATATTTAGATTAATGCAAAGATGTGTTGAACCAACTATCTTTGTTATAAAGATTCTATCTTGTAAGGCAAACAATTGTTACCCACATACTATAAATGGGGGTGAGACGAAGAGCCTGTCTTGCTCATATGCTTACTGCTCCCTATGATATGTATGACTTGCAATGTATTGGTCAAAACAACTGCAGTGCACCAACTTGTATGTTTATCTGAGGGTGTGCACATATACACCTTAGAAAAATAGAGATGGATTAGCCTTGCAGAGTGGAAGTCTCCAAATTACGATAGCATTAAATACTTCTGTGCTTATGAAAACCATTTCAAATTCACGGGAGCTGCAGTCTAATTCCTAGAAGCTAGTATCGGCTTTTGATGCCAGCCCTGCAGTCATATAGAAACCTGTCAGCATCACTTTTGCCAATCTCCAGTCTCTTTTTCTACATTCTTGGCTTGGAAGTGCATGAAATAATTGTAATGAGTGCTGCAAATCTATGTGAGTGTTCTGGTGGTGTAGCTGTGCTAGACAGTTAATGGCTGATGTGTTTGGGCCCCTTTCTTGTTACTCATTGTTGTGCCGCTGCTTTGAGTAGGGCAGCGTGTGAAGTGCCATGTGTTCATATGAAGCTATGACAGTCCAGTTTGGTGTGCTTATGTACTTCTGCCTTCCCTCCCCCCCACTCCAGTTTTAGCAGGCTGTTCAGCTCATCAGGCAACACTGTTAAGAAGCCAGAGCCACCAGTTAATGTTAAGTACAATGCACCAACCTCACACATTACTCCATCAGTCAAGAAAAGAAGCAGCACTTTATCTCAGCTACCAAGTGACAAATCAAAAGCCTTTGATTTCCTCAGTGAAGAGTAAGTCTTCTTTTGCTGAAGGTATAAAAAACGTGAACAGATAGTTAGAAAATAGATTAAATATGTCAGGATCAGTATTTTTACTGATGGAATATAGAAGCCATAGTATCAAAATTGGCTCTCGAGTGATTCAACTTTGTAGCAGAGGAGCATCAAAGTTATAGTTGGTGGTCAGATGTTGGCTGCTAGACTTTGCCATTTTTGCTGTATAGTTAATGAAAGACTGTGGCAAAAATCTCTCCTGCCGAAATCCCTCTTCTTGTAAGATTAAGCACTGCTCTTGCCTCTTTTATGACAAGGTAAAACACCCCCCGACAGTCATACCACATAAAATGTAATGCCCTCTGCTGTGCTACATAAACCTGAATTTTTATTTTTTTTAGCATTTCTTTGCAGTCTTCATTTTCTTTAAGAGTATTTTTATTCTGCATGTGTTTTGCCTAGATAACTCATTTGTTGAAGGGAGCAGCCAGAGCATTTTACTTTGTAAATGGGGAATGTCTGGTGCAGTCCTAAGTAACTCAGCATTTAGCAATTACAGTGCTAATTGTGTTGACAAAGATTGATTTTTGTTTATATCTTTTGTGATAATAATGTAGCCTAAATAACATAGCCACTTGCTATGTAGCTGTGTAGCCACAAGATATGCCTTTATTTCTGAGTTTTACGAAGTTGCTTGGAGGTAGTACACTTCCTTGCAAACTTCCAAATGTCCCCACTCAATTTTTCTCCCAGCTCACTTCTCCTAATGCAGTCTCAAGGTTTGCAATGGGGAATGTGAGAATTGATGGGTTGCTCAGGCACTCTGGACCAGTTAGAACAGTATAGGTTATAACCAAAACCTGGAATAGTGTTTAGAAAGGCACAGGGAGCCAGTGCAGATATATTGGAGCACTAAAGTAACGTGTTTCTGTTGGCCCATCTACTGTATTCTGTGCTAACTGAAACATGTGCACAGTTTTGGGTGTCAGTCTCCTGTAGAAAACATTAAGGTCTAATCTTTAAGTAGTACAAGCCCAAGAGATGTATCCAGTTGTTTGTATCCAATGATGTTCTAATTTACATTTCATTCATTTCAATGGATCTGCCCTAAGTAGGATGAACATTGGATGAAACCAGAATCATTACACCAGGCCTTAACAGACAATGTCACTGTCTTCTCTCCAGGGAAGGATAGAAGCTGCCCTGACAACCGTCACATCCTGGACTTTCCAGCATTACTGAAGGTCCAGGAACAGTTTGGGGGCTATGAATATGAGAGGCTGAGGGGCAGAGGGGGAAATTCTGTTTGTGATTAGGATTCCAGCTCCTTCAGGTTATATGACCTGCTTATGGTCATTTTATAAAACATTGTATTGGAAACATCCCCTTCATTTAGACTGCAGAACAGGGGTATTTTAAAAAGAGAGTCCAAGTAAAGCGAATAGAGGTGGAGTTGTATTTGAACAAATAGGAACTGGAACGAGATACAGTGACTTGTAATGAGAGAGAATGACTTAGATGACAAGACCATCTTTCTCTTCTGCCCAGGTCTGAGGCAAGTCTTGCCTCACGCAGAGAGCAAAAAAGAGAACAGTACCGCCAAGTGAAAGCACATGTTCAGAAGGAGGATGGTAGAGTGCAAGCTTTTGGTTGGAGTCTTCCTCAGAAATATAAACAGGTAATTAGTTTCAAACAAGCTGATTGAAAATGTACTTCAGACCTTTTGGTAAAGCAGAGGTATTGTGTGTTGTCACCCATTCTTTACAGCTTAGCTCTCCTTGTAGCATTTTCATTTACAGAACTGAACATGGAAAGTATGACTAAAGGTTTCTGTGGAGTATTGTTATGGCCCTAAATAGTATCACACACATCACTCTACAGACTCACAGAACGTTCCTGTAGCCTCTCTGGAGGCATAGGATTGTTCCAATCCCCTGCTCAAAGGCTAGAAAGGAGCTCTGACCTTCGCACTGGGGATCCTCATTGGATCACCGTTCCCCTCACAGCTGCTGTGGAGAGAACTGCACTAGCTTCTCCAAGGTTGGAAGAACCTCAGAGAAGTGGCTTGGGGGTGTTCTAGGGAGGGGAAAAGGTTGGTGTTACATCATACCTTGGCAGTGCCTCAACTCCCCTCTCTTCTGAAGTGGCACAGCTAGTTAACTGGAATCAAATGACAGCTGCTTTTGTAGGGCTGGAACAGCATAGAAGCAGTCTTTGCTTCTTCAGCCTGCCCTGCATATAAGATGCCTGTGACCGCCTGAACTTGGAGGATGGCTGTCATCCAACTGAGCATGGGATGGCAGTCACATTCCCATCACCTTGCAGGCCATCTCTTTTTTCCCTGCTCTATGGAAGGATGGTCTGGGGCACCACCAGGGTTCCAGTAGAGTCTGCATCTTCTTCCCACTCCCCAGAACACCCTCCTAGTGCCAGAGTGGTACTTGCCACTCCAGAGCCACAGTGGGTGTGAAAGGAACCATTCAAGCTTTACGGGGAGGGTGATCCACAGTTGGGGTCCCAGCTACATGAAATGCATTCCAAGGCAGGAGCCGGGACTCTGACCTGGTATTTAGCTGTTTAGACAGTGTCTAGCAGCCATAAGAGTGTGCTCTAAGACACAAAGCTAATTAAAGTGCATGACTGAAACCAAGTGTTACATGAAGCCAATAGGAATGAAAAATTAAAATGCCACTGAAGAGGTTACAAATTATTTTAAAAGCCATGGCAAAATTAAGAAACTTAATATTATGCCCTTAAGAATGCAAGGCTGTATTTTATCATTCTGAAGTTACGGCTGAAAAAACTTTTCTGAGGGTCTGTTAGGGTTTTCTCCTTTTGTGGCAAGGGAATCTGGAGCAGGGCCCCATGTACATGTCTTAATGGACAGGAAAGCATATTTAGGAGAGAGTTGTTAGATTTTTGCAGGATGCAGAGTTAAGAACTGAAGATAGTTCCTAAGGTATGCAAGGAACAGTGGTTACAGAGTGATTTTCTTGTACCTGTTGCATTTGTTTTACTATGGAACACAGAAATAATTTAAGTGGGGAACTCGATCTTTGAAAAACCACCATTTTCCCTGTTTAAACACAAATGACGTGTTTAACACTGAACCGTAGAAAGAGTGGGCAAGCCTCATGTTCAGTCAACCTTATCATGGAATGTTCTTAATGTGCATTTTTGCCGTTTGAAAACACTTGAGCTATCTTGAATATTTTTATATAAAATGTTTGAGAACTGTACAGATTATAGATTATACCTTAGCTCTGGCCTTAAACCCATCACTTTCCACCAGGAAGCATCAGCAGTCTCCTCCATCCTATCCAAGATAGGCCTCCAACTACTCAGTAAATATCTGCTGTAGGTAGAAGGACAATCCATAGCCCACCAGTTGCCCACAGGTTCTCCTCATGGAGCTTTCAGATAGTCCTTGAGGCCTCCATTTGAACTCAGCTGCATCACTCAGGGTTCTCACTTCCTCATGCCAATTGTGGTCAGTTGTACGGTTACCAGCACTGAATGGGCTCTTCACCAAGGGCCCCCTTTGTGCATTCCATAAAGTCAGAGTACCCCTCTACGTGAATCCTTCCTTTGTACCAGGAGTACACACTGTCACAGGCCTCAGGAATTACCTTGCCCTCGTAATGCCACAATCCCTCCCTCTTCTCTGAGAGGCTCTGGCATAAGCTGGATGTATGATGTACAAGGCTTACACTCTTTGTGCACAGTCTTCCAGGCAGGCTGACAACTGACTCAGTTCCCTTCATCTTGCCTCCTTGTGGTGGGAAGTCCTAGTGTTGTCGGGCACTGCAGTGGCGTATCAGACACAATGCTTCCTTCCACTGCTCCAAGTTGCAGCTCATTCTGCCAGGGCAGTAGCCACAGACACAGAGTTCTTTGACAACATACTCCTCTCAGAAACATGTGAGGCTGCTACATGGACCCTGCCCAAATTTTATTAAACGTGACAGTGTACATCTTCACCTCGGCAGAATATCTCTTCCCTCTGCCCCAACCTTTTGGAGTAAGAGGACTCCAGTGTGTTCTTCCTCCCTTATGGTCCCAGCCACTCTTAACCTAACTCTGTGGACTAGATTAGCTTCTGAACATCCCATGGTTTGAATGCCTCCTCATGCCAAATGGAGAATAGAACATTTGGGAACTGCCATGAATGTTTCTTTCAGCTTGTGTGACTGAGCCATCTGAATGGTAGGCTAAGTAATCAAACAGCTCACATTCAGTGTATAGGTAGATGCTATACCTAAATGACACCTTCTTCCTTGTGCTCCAGCTTGTGGAGATCTTACCTTTTTTAACTTCCTGTTTTTCTGTCTAATGAATTCCTTGAGTTTTATTCCTGAAAGTCTGATAGCACCAAGCCTAGTATTCAAATCTAAATCACATGAGCCCTAGCTGGGGGTTTGTGTGCCTTTGTCAGACTAAAAATCAAAAGGACCTTCACTGTAACTGTTCAAGTTTCCATCATCTCCCTCCTTTTAGGTTGTAAATGGTGGTGGTCAGAGTGATAACAAGATGAAAAACTTACCTGTGCCTGTTTACCTGAGACCACTAGATGAAAAGGATACATCCATGAAGGTAGATCTGTTTTCCTTTTCTCTGTCTCCCTCTTAAAAAAAAAACAAAACAAGGAAGTTACTAGAGCTGTACATTTTAAATTAGCCAAACTTTCTGCGTGGAGAGATTATGTTCCCTTTATTGGAAGATCTTACTGGTTCTGAGCAGTGCCTGATTTAGTTTAACTTGCAGGTGAATTTTTTAAAGGAATGTCTAATTCTTAAATATAGATACATGTATTACTCTAAAGGTCTTTGCAACATAGCATTGGTGTCTTAGTTTTTTGTGTCCCCTGAACAGTTAATTTCATTATTACCCTGGTTTTACCAAACATGTATTTTATAAAGATCCCTTGTCTTTTAAGCTGTGGTGTGCTGTAGGAGTGAACTTATCTGGTGGAAAGACAAGAGATGGTGGATCGGTGGTTGGTGCTAGTGTGTTCTACAATGATGTGACCTCTGTAGATGCAGACAGCAGCAAACAGAGGAGTGCATCTCAGAGTAGTTTGGACAGATTAGATCAAGAACTCAAGGTAAGGCTAAAGATTATACTTCAGTTAGATGGAAGGATTCAGTATTGCATTCATAATTTAAAATAAAAGTATTTAGTGTATGGTCATAAATTTAAAAAATACTGGTACCTGCTCGGCCGTTCTCACAGTGATGAATTGATGAATTCTAGATATTGATGTTCTGTCATCAAAATGTGTTGTGTAGGATTCCAATCTTTAATCCATTATTTAGCAGCCCCCCTTTCTGGGTGCCACAATTACTTGGCTGAAGGAGATGGAGCATGTTTGGTAGCCAGAAGATAAAAAGTGTCATTGCTGTGCTGTCCACCCTCAGTGCAACCAAAAAAGGATCAACAACTAGCTGACACTCTGGGAACATAGGCCTTGGCTAAAAGTTTTGAGCAGTTAATGTGCTGTGGCACAGTCAGTCATGCTAGTTTGCTGTCAGGTCTAGAACCACTTTCTGTGCTGCCTGCTTGAACCAGAGATTCATTTGCCCACCTTCACAGCATGTCATTGCATTGGGTCACCCCAGTCAGTTTCTAGGTTCCACAAGAAATGTTTGTTGATCAGTCTTTTATTTGGATAAGAAAACAACTCTCTCTATGTGTAAAATTGTGAAGGTGTGATCCATTTTTCCCCAGAAAGATCATGTCTGTTCAGGTTAGTTGTGTAGTGGGTAGAGTGTTGGACTGAGTTTTGGGAGACTCAGGTTCTGGTCCCCACTTGGCCATGAAGCTCACTGGATGACTTTGGGCCTGTCAGTCATTCTCGGCTAACCTACCTCACTGGATAGTTGTTGCAAGGATAAAGTGGAGAAGAAGAGGAACCTGTAAGCTTTCTTGAGTTTTTTGCAAGTGGAACAAAGGCAGGAAGGGAACACAGCATCATTAATATTAATATTATTTCTGAAAGCATGTTTGGATTGAGGTTTTGGCTGGTTGTGAAATCATGTGGGCAATATTACACATGAAAACAGCCTGCTGCCTGTGCAGCAGGGGTACTTTCCATCTGGGTTTGCGTTCCTAGTGAACATATCTGGTAATTCTAAAGGTGATCCATATCACAAAGCAGAGTTGAATTTAGCATGCTTTAATATGACACAGAGTGTAATGCGGCACTAAATTTATGTGGTTGGTCTTGGTTTTCCTTATACAGGACCAGCAGAAAGAGCTGAAAAGCCAGGAAGAGCTATCAAGCCTCGTTTGGATCTGTACTAGCACCCACTCTGCTACAAAAGTTATCATTGTAGATGCTAACCAGCCAGGAAACATCCTAGACAGTTTCATTGTTTGCAATTCTCATGTACTTTGTATAGCTAGCGTGCCAGGTAAGAGATGCAGAGAAGCAATTACCTGTGTCATCACAGATTTGTTTCTACCTGTTATGGGGATGCTGCACAGCTCCTCAGCTACTACCAGATTCAACTGGCCAGGATGTTTAAAATGTAAAATTCTTGCATTTACTGGCTGCATTTTAAAAAAGTCAGCAGTTGTCCTCCTAGCTCAGAAGAAATCATTGACAGCATTGACATTGTCTTTGCAGGCCTTGGTGTTGCTACATTATTTTTACATAGAGACAGTTCTCTGATGGCAGAAGCCTTAACACTGTTAAAGCAGTGCTATAAATTATTGTATCATCACCACTTTAATATTTTGCTGTTACATATCTACTTTACAGGCCAATCCTATACGTATCCATTTGGAATTAAGATGAAAGGGGATGTAATATACTGAGTATTGGAAATAAGAAAGTGAAAAAAAAAATCAAAATTAGATGTAGTGCTTACTTTTTCTCTAATGCCCCCACTTTTCAAATTCACATTTGTTTTTTTTAATATCTCACTGAAAGTTCTGTTGGGCAAGCTGTGTGAAATCATGCTTGATTTCTCATAACTTTTATTTGGTTCATATAGTGCAAATTGTAAGTGGTTTGCAATGGCCCCCAGTCCCAAAAGAGCACTGAGATGCTAGTTACATCTCAGATACTGAACTGGAATCTAATATTTGTTTTGTTTCAGGGGCTCGGGAAACAGATTATCCAACTGGAGAAGAAAGCTCCCAAGAACCCGACTCGGGTGTGGTGGACAAGTCATCCTTGTCTGGCAGTATGAATAGCAACAGCTCAGCAGAAACAGACAGTCTGTTAGGAGGAATCACAGTAGTTGGCTGTACGGCAGAGGGTATTACAGGACCTTTTACTCACAGTGCCAATGGTGCCTCCCCTGAGACAAACAAACAGCCAGGTACTGAAGCTGTTCACTGTTCCTCCCCCTCCCCACAACATAGGCTGGTTTCAGCATACCAAACTGCTAGGTCATTGCTAACACCGTATTCAGTGTATTAGCCAGGAGCGTGTATGACCTGCATTCCTCAAGTATTATCATGCTCCTGGCTGCCACTAGAATTCTCCCCTTCTCCAGCCTGAGGACTGGAGTGTGGGAGAAACTCCATCAGAGGCAGGGAATTTCTAGCGAGGAAATACAGGACTGCTGTGGCCCCATTCTTCCTTTGTGGCATTAGCTATTGGATGTGGTGACCAAGAAATGGGGAAAGGGAGGACAGGGCAAGCACACTGTGGCTCGCTCTCTCACTCTCTCATGCTCAGGCACACACCCATGTGCTCATGCACACACCCAAGTGGTTCCCACTTGAAAAATAAGGAAGACCCTGCTTTATGAGTTTAGAGCATCTACAGAGAGCATTATAGATTTTGTCAGTCAAGGCTGTTCTTTCCTATACATGTAGAGCACGGAAAAGTACCCCACTAACAGCAGATAGCAACTTGCATTTAGCCTACTTGAATTCAACAATGAAGTATGTGGATTTGTTACAGAAAGCTGCCTTATTTGCAGCAAGGATGGAGCAGGCATACAGAGGAACTGCATAGCAAACACAGAACTGCTGTTTGTATCCTCTGTCAGTTTAAGCAGGGTTTCTTAATAAAGAAAAGAGAATGGAAAGTTATAGGAAAGTTATAGGACTGACTAATCAGCATACATGCTTCATTCAAGTTCTCCTGTTACTGAAAAATGTGCTTCAGATGCTGCAACTGAAAACGATGCAGTGGATGAGAACGTTCAGACAGCAGAAGAAGCAACTGAGGCAACAGAAGTCAATGCTGGCTCAGGAGAAGAAACAGCAGATACGACCCAGACTGGCGTTTACACAGAGCATGTCTTCACAGACCCTTTGGGAGTCCAAGATACGGTGGAGGGTTCGCCAGCATTCCCGCCGAGGTATGCCTGATTTTGCATCAACAAGGCAAAGTGCTTTTTCATGACAGAAGTAGATTACAACTCATTTTTAATAGAAATGTATTTATATTGTATTGATGCAGTATTTTGTGCTTTCATTTTTTAAGGATACATTGCATAGCATGTTTATGAATGTATGAACTATTTGATACAAGTCATATTCCAATAACACATTTCAACACATTTTACTGGTTAATGACTTAAGTAATTCCCTTCAAGTTTATCAGATTGTAATGCAGTCTTTATAGGGAAATCTTTGTGTAATTATTGGGTAAACAAGGGTTTATTTGATATTCCAGTTTTGCTGGTGATTGTAATGCATTAAGGCAGTAGATTGTTTTAAGAGAGAATATTCAGTTACCTTCAGGTGGATTAAATTGTTGCAGAAAGACTAGAATGCAAACAAGGTGATAAATTTCATACACAGCATTTCGTGGTAAAATGGCTGCAGCCAAAACTAGAGAAGGTGGAGTGTGGTAGTGTGAGCATTACAGCTAAAGCATCCCACATGTGTACATGCATCTAAGCTGTTGATTTTCCTGTTGCATTAAAATCTAGTTAGGGAGGATGAGCTTCATAGCAGAGAAGCTGTGGAGAGATGGGACGCTTGTTCTTTTCCTGTCTGCGGTTTTCTCTTTTCAAAACATACCTTTAAGCAACTTTACTCTTTGCCAGCTTTCAAATGCATTTTAAATCTTTGTGAAGGACTACTTTAGGATGTATTTTTCCTTCCCTCCTTTTTACTATCGATTGTGCATGCTCAAAGAGGCTTTGATACAGGGATGAGCAACTTGTAGTCAGTCAGGTTTTTTGTCTTACAGCCATAGCCAGCATAGCTATTGATGATGGATAATGGGAACTGTAGGCCAAAACATCTTGATGTCCAGAAGTTGTCCACCTTTGCTTTAAAAGAAGAGAGAGGCAGAATAGAGTTCTTCTGCTTTTTTTTTTTTTTAATATTCAGCTTGGCTCTTAGAAAGCACACCTGTCTGAGTCAACAAATTAGTTTGGCTGGACTGTGAAAGCTGTCTTTTGTTTCGTTCAATTGCTAGATTCTTATTTACATTTAATTTCCTTTCTCTGTTATTTGAGGCTCATCCATCTTTTCCCTGATTGTGGAAGAAAGATTGATCGATTGACTTCATTTCTATACCACCCGTTAGCCAAAACTCTCTGGTGATTACAATCAACATAAACTGCAAAAACTTAGTGAAACATAATATAAAATGTTAAGTTTAAAAAGTGTAATACTAGAGTAATAACCAAAGTACAGTCCAGCAGCAGTACCAAGATTCAGAAAATCACCAATACAATTTGTACAACGGAAGGACTTGTTTTAAATGCACACATGTGGTCTGCAAAAAGATAAATGCTCCCCACCCCATGTTTTCCAGCCAAACCTACCTTGCAGGCTGGTTGTGAAGATACTCATATTTGGTAAAGGGTGGAATATACCACTGTTATTTCGTTTGAGGAAGGGTAGGATGCAGATAAAATACATTTTTATTCTAATCTTCAGTCCTAGAGTTAAAAGTCTTTACAGATTCTTGTTGTGGGGTGGGGAACTTTGGTGTGGTAGCCTGGAATATTACTTAGTCTGGAATAGTTTAGGATGTGAAGACTAAAGGGTAATTGAACATTATTTGCTTTTACAGTAGAAAATTACTTGATTTCTCCTCTTCTCTCAGCAATGAATCAGACTTGTATAAAGATGTTGCTGTATTGCCAAATGAGCAGGATCTCGTAAGAGAAGAAGCACAGAAAATGAGCAGCCTTTTACCTACTATGTGGCTTGGAGCACAGAATGGATGGTAAATCCAAGAGTTTTAATTCTAAGCTATTTTGCTAGCAGAAATATTTTAACTATTAGTGCACTTTCTCCTTTACCAAGACTGTTAAATTAAAAATGAAATGTCAACGTTGGAATCTGCTCTAAACTATAACTTCAAATTAGGGTTGGGATGAACCCTTTTGGCATTCATCCCTCTGGCATTTGTGGGCTTTCTGTTGTGCTCAGCCCAGTTCTGCAGAGCAAAGCAAGCCAAGGGGAAGTCCGTGAACAGCTGTGCAAACAACGACCTTCCCCATCACATGCAGCTGCCCAAAGAGCGGCTGTAGGACACGGAATAGGGCCATTCCCAGTGGCCAGCCTTCTCCCCACCCAGTGAAGACAGTGGCAGCAGTGCTGGGCACAGGAGAGGGGTGCTGCTTGCACAAACACTGGGAGCTCTCCTAGGTACCCAGACTCCAGGGAGCTGAGCACAGGGAACCTGGTGGACTCTCACCCCCAAACAGATTCCTCCCACATCACTACTTCAGATGGGGGTTTCAGTTGTTTAACATTAACTGGGGCTTGTCAATAGTCAGTGTTCAGTTCTGGCACCCAGTGCTTTGCTTATGCAGTTGATGATGTGAGATACAACTAAGTACAGCTGGTATTTGAGAGTGAGATTTTGGTATGCTGTGAGTGAAAGTACTCTTGATTTGGCATACTACTTGAACTTTGTTTTGATAGTGAGAAAAGAAATGAAATAATGGAATAAAATGGAGTAATACAATTCTGGATCTGGTGTGAAGAAGGAATCCAACAGTAAGATGACTGCCTCCCTTGTCTAGGGAAGGAATGTCCCATGAGACCTAGATTTCAGTGCTAGGATTGGAACCGCAAGGCTTTCCTTTGTTCTTCCTGCCTTTTGCGCAGGACTGAGCATACTACTTCAGCTCCTCTGTTCTCGAGCACAACCTTTAACACTGTTGTCCTGTCACTTCCAGCTCCTCTTCACATTCTTTCCATTTTCTCTGTCTCCTGTTGCTATTTAAACAACAAACGTTTTTCTCTCATGGTTGTCATTTCATCCTGCTTTTGAGCCATGGGGAAATATGCTACTTCCAGTCTGTCGAAGGAAAGAGGGTTTCCTTTGAAGCCCCATCTGCTACAGGGTCTCCTTCCATGAGTGCTCACTGCATACATCCACCCGTGGCTTGAGCAGAGACCTCTTGCCCATGCAGCTTGGGGGCCATACAGTGCATGCCAGCTGTTGCTGCCTCGCAAGCCGTTCTTGCAGAGAGCAGCTCCAGGGGCTGCATCTGCACTCAGAACCTTCCACTGGTGAAACAGGGAGAGAGCGCAGCAGTGGGAGGGCGGGAACCAGAGCGTTCGTAACCGGATTCCATAGTCTCCACACCAAAACAGCAGCACCATCTTCCGAGGATGATACTTGTTGCATTTCAGGCTTGGGCCATCAGATGGCAGCACAAAGTAGGGCATGGAGAATTAACCTTATTTATGACTTTAACAGGGAATCCTCTCCAATTTTCCATTTCTCTCATGCTCAGACACCGGAATCTTCTGGGCTACCTTCCTCTAATGGGTACCCAGGGTTTTCCTAAATTTATTCTGGACAATTTGTTTCCACAAAAAAGAAACCAAGCTGTAATCCTTTATTTAAGGGAGCAGCTCCTCCAACAAAATCAGATCAGTCATTCTTAAACAGAGCAGGGAAGGATTCTTCATCTTCTCCTCGTTCAGGGTAAATGGAACAAAAGAATTAAATGCAAGACTTCATCTCAATGTAAGTCTTCAGCCAAGCAGGCTGGCAGTCCTTATCCATTCTTCCCAGGAGTCTGCCATTGTGTCTCCTGACCCTTGTCTGTGATGAGCACACAGGTGGCTTATTCATCATAACAGCTTGTGAAGTAGGGAAGACGAGGAGGATAATTAGTCCAATCCCTTATGGCTCGCAATTTCTACCTAAGAAACCCATCTGTTCCAGAAGGAAAACAGAGTAGTCAGATCATGGCCTGCTAGATGAAGTATCTAATTCCTGATTTGATAAGTAACAATGGTTTTCTGCTTTTACTTTCAAAGGCCATTTCTGCTTTAGGCCTATAGTCAGTGGTGCAGGAGATCACATTGAAAAGTGTATCTGTTTTCCATGAAACTAAAGCCTTCATCAGAGAATTGACATTTCTGTCCCCTTTTGACGAGTTAGTTCAGTCATTGTGGGCTAAATGCCACCAGTATTGCCCAGAATTTTTAATCCTTTGGCAAGAATTTGAAGGTACTCCTTGTAGATACTCTTGCAGTACTTTTTTTAGGAGTCATTATTCCTAAAGATGTCAACACCCTACTCATTCAGTTTCTGCAGCATAGCCATGTGAAAGAGATATTTTCTGGAACTTAGGCATCCAGCAGAAATAGTCCAGAATGTGTTGTCTTCTAAAACACTCTACTGTATGTTTACACAAAACAACAGAGAAGGGCTGTGTGAAATGGTGTAAAACAGTCAACCACAAGATGGTGGGCATTAAAAAAATACAAAACCTAGAACCCTGCCTTAATCTATGCCTTTGGCGCAATACTTGTACAGCTTTTGGAAACAAATGCAATGGCATGCTCTACCTGCTATTATACTCAGTCTCTCCCTAGACATTAAGGTGGTGTGTTATTGTTATTATATTGCTTTTATACCCCACCTTTTGTGAGGAACCTGACACACCTTACATAGTTCTCCTCCATTCCATTTTATCCTCAGAACAACAAATCTGTGAAACAAGTTAGGCTAAGAGTCCATGACTAGCCGAAAGTCAGCCAGTGAGCTCCATGGCTGAGAGGAGACTGGAATCTGGTTCTCCCTGGTCCCCAGTCCAACATGTCAAGCACCACACCACACTGGTTCTTAAAAGGTTAGCTTGTGTGCTTCCACTGTTGGAAACCTCCTTTATGCCAAATGGAAAGTGGAAGACTGGACATTTTCCATGAAGTTTCCTTCAGATTTGTTGTGATAGAGACCTCCAAACCACAATGAAACCACAATTAACCTAATGAATGACATACACAAAACCTAGATAGCTGCAGATCCTAGTTTACTCTAGTGCTTTCATTTGCCTTTCTTTGACTTGTTCCAAGCTGGGTTGGGGTGGCTCTCTATTTTTGCACATTCTAAGAAACTCTCTCATGTTCAGGCACTGAACAGAACTGGGGAAGAGTCTCACAATTTCAAGCCTAGTACTGTAATCTAGGTCACATGAGCTTTCCTTTTCTTTCAGCTCAACATCTTGCCATAACCCACTTGGACTTCTTCATGCCAAATTAAACAGAAGAAACAAAGCTATAATAAAATATACAGGTGGTTAGAAGAATAGCAAATGAAATCAGTTTCAGGTTACAAAAAAGTCTTGAAAGAATGGAAGTATTCCAGCAGCAGTGCTAAGCTGAGCACCAAAGAGGGTGGGGATGGGGGTTGGAGCCAGGAGAAACCTCCCTGGGGAGGGCACCCCATAAACTGGCACCACAAAGGCCCTCTTCCTAGTTGCTGTCTTTGGCAAGCAGCACCTGGAGTAGGACTTGCAGAGTTAATCTCAGTGCTGCTGTCTACAAGGAGGAGGCAGTCATAGAAGTACGCAGGTCTTCAGCCACGAGGGCAAAGCTGTGAAGAATTAGATGCTGCTGGGAAAACCTGAAACAGACCAAGCAATTTCTTATATTGTTTGTTATGATTGTTATTTTCAAGCTAGGAGCTATACATTTATGTAGGGTGCAAACCTGTGCAGGTTTAGACAGATACACTGACTGGGACATGTTGGGGATTGTAGGTCTTTTATATGCCTAAACTTGTACAGACATGAACATACATGTTCAGTTACCTAATTTACACCGTCACCCTTCTGTCAAAGTTGGCACCCAGATTATCATTTTAAATACCAACATGGGTTTAGAGATGCTGGCTTTTTAATTAATTCTGACTTTGTTGTTGCAGCTTATATGTTCATTCTTCAGTGGCTCAGTGGAGAAAATGTGTTCACGCAATTAAACTTAAAGATTCTATTCTCAGTATCGTGTAAGTTGCTAGAAAATATTTATACTATCATGACATTTACATTAGAGCTAGTTTGAGTGGAAAATGAATTATTCTGAAAGCTATCTTCTGCAAGATGCAGGTATTTTATTTTTGTTAATTTTTTTTAGTTTTTTGAAGAAGAGAATGAGAAGAGCTGGTTTTAAGTCACTGATGAAATAAAAAGGTTGTAGACTTTTCCAGTCATGAATGTGACCTGAAGATTTTTCTAAAAAAAGTTTGTAGCAGAGATTTTATATCTTCTGTAGGTTAAAATTGGTACAAGCAAATTCTCACATGCTCTCAGCAGGAAAGGTCTGCAGACAGAGAGGGACATCCGGGCACCAGTCTCCTCTATCACAGTCATCAAGTGATGTTGAATAGGCCCCAGCCCGGGGGCTGCGCTGAGCAGGCCTTTGTGGCACATGCACTTTGCCTGATTTTGTTTGCTTGAACTCTTGCTTGGTGTAATATAAATCATAGCTTAAGCTATGGAACATGGGAGCCTGTTTATGGTCGAGCATATTTCATATTGCAACACTAGAAGTTAAATTTCTCCCATTGTGAAACAGTGGATTTGGGTTCTTTTGTACTTGCCCAATCAAATAGTTTTAGATACTTGAAATATGAGAGGTACTCTGGAAATAATTGATTCAATAAAGTAATCATGATTTCTGATTATTATATGCAAATAGTAATCACTATTATTATATTCTATTATTTAATGGTAACCATTTTGTTAGACTCCCATTTGCATCTTGGATAGATGGCAGAAACTGCATTCGGGTGATTTGTTACTTAAAGGGGAAGAAGGCACTGGCATGGCTGGGATGTGTGCAGACAAAGAACTGAGAAGACTTAATGTGCACTTTGCGTTCAGGTCCTCACAGTAAAGTATTTGCTTCTTTCTCCTGTCCAGACATGTAAAAGGAATAGTCTTAGTTGCACTGGCAGATGGAACTTTAGCAATATTTCACAGAGGAGTAGGTAAGCATTCTACTTGGACAAGTGGACTACCCATGTATTTTTATTTCTGACCTGCATTTGAAAGAGGTAGACATTGCAGACCTACCTTACTCCCAGAGATTGCCTGTTCCAGGGGAAATTTTATAATTCTTGAGATAATATTGACTTAATAATGAAGGTTTCCCCTTCATTCCACCTGTTTCCTCATGAGGTCTGCTTTTAAATGGACGTTATCAAGAACCAGTTCACCTTTGCGAAAGAGAAGACCTGTTGTAGGCTTTCATACTTAGAGTCCTTTCAGCATCCTGGTGCTGTTTGATGCTCTGATGTGCACTGACGATAGAGCACTGGCGATTCTCACTGGCCTGTGAGGACCCCCCTTTTAGGAGTTGTTGTACCATAGTGCTGAAGAATAACTGAATGGGACAAGATCTTCTTTGTTGTTGCTTTTTTAACATACTTGAATTACTGCCTTACAAGTCATCTTGGTCTTTAAACATGGACATTTAATGCTCTTTAATGCTGGTCCTATTTTGGGATTTATTTTGCTAATCTTAGCAGTTCAGCGACAGTATACAATGCACTACTTAACATTTCTTCAAAGTAAGAAGAAATTTACTTTGACCTTCTTAATGTAATTAAGTAATCACTTTTCTTTTGACCTTCTTAATTGAATTGTCAAAGAAAAATAAACAGTGGTGTCTCCTGGTACTGGACTTATGTGCTGTCAGGGAGATTAACAAGATGACCTTTGATGCACCTTCTACCCCTGCAGTTCTTTGTATCTATGTTATAAGTGAGCCTGCAGGAGCTGAAAACCAAGCAGAAACATAGCCACATATAATTAAGATATAACATGCAAACAAACTAATATTTGCAAATGAGTTTTCCTAACCCCTCAGTTTCTTCATTTTATTTTTTAAAGATGGACAGTGGGATTTGACAAACTATCACCTCCTAGATCTGGGACGACCGCATCATTCAATTCGGTGTATGACTGTGGTACATGATAAAGTCTGGTGTGGCTACAGAAACAAGATCTATGTGGTTCAGCCAAAAGCCATGAAAATAGAGGCAAGTTAAAACAAATATATCATCAGACTTGTTTCCCTAAAATGCTGCTGCTTCATGGTCTCTCTGACTCTCACATGTGGATTTTGTGCCCACATAGAACAGTCATGCAGAACATTCTTGAGCTAAACAGAGTTGTAGGTGGGAGTCCTGCCCACCCTTCAATGCATGTTCCAGGAATGGCGCCTCAGTTCCTTTTCATCCTCCACAGCAACTAACAGCGTTTGGAACGTTCTCCTGCCTAACAGCTTATATTGCAAAAACAAAGGCTTCTTGTCCTTGTTGGGATGCTGAACAGAACTTCTTTCTTCGTTCTTCCTTTCCTTTCTTTTCTGAGATCTCCCCCCACCCCCCACTTTCTAGTCTCAGGAGCATATGGACTCCTAAGGCCATCTTCAGAAAATGGACCGACAAACCTGCACATGGTTTGCTGTTTCTTAGATAGAGCCAGAGGGAGGATTATTAATGCTACTGCAAGGCCTTCATCAAGCAGGCCAGGAGGAACAAGCAGCACTTCTTTGAGCCCTCCTTGCGAGCACAGACTGAAGGCAGCCGACACCGCCACACAAAACCATCCCCTGCATTCCGCCTCGACCACCATTTTATTTGAAGGAAGCCTCTTCAAGTAAAATCTTACATAAAAGCTGAACTCACTTCAGCCCTCATCCAGCCTTCCTTGGCTCGGATGGTGCGACAAATGCTAGTGTATCCATCAGTGCCAAGCCAGGAAGAACTGCACTTTCCATGTGATTATGAGGTCAGACTAGATGGCCCGGGAGGCCCCTTCTGACTCGCTCTGTTTCTATGTTTCTATTATAACTGCCTGGATGATTCCCAAGGCCTCTGTTCAGTATTACAGAAATGGTTCTCATCAGAGCTGTATTATCTGCTTCAAGCTATCCCCTGCAAAGTCTAGATTGCCTCAGTACCATTGCACCACACCGGCATCCTTACCCCCTTTAGGGGATTTCTTCTGTATGTCTGTGACATGCTACAGGACTGCCACAGGTAGTCCTGCTACTGCCAATCTTCTCCACACTGTTACGAGAACCATTCACTGCCTAGAGGGCGTTACTATAATAGGATGCCAACTATCCATTCTGCTATTTATGTCAGCTCTCCCTCTCTCCACACTTCAGAAACCCTAAATCAACCTCTTTGCATGTGATGGCCAAACCAGCAGAAGTTCAGTGTTGCTGTTCTGCCCTGCCAGATTTAATGAGGTTGTTGCTCTACCTCCACTATCCCTTTCTGGTGAATTTCTTTCAGAATATCATTCTGAAAAAGCTACCTGATCCATCACCAACCAAACAATCTGCCCATCAGTTCAGCTTCCTCAACCATCTCTGCCTATCTGTAACAAAATACCAGGCAGTGATCATCATTGGTACACAACAGTTATAGCCGGCTCTTCTTCATCGCCTTCCATCCATGGTGGCAGTAAAAGGAAACAGGTATAATAAGACAGCCGGACTATTGTGATAAGATTGCTGCTTTAGAGGATGGCCAAGATGGGGAGCTCCTATTCCAGTTCTGCCTCCACTCAGGTCCTAGATCTAGGTTTAGGAGAGTTTTGGAAGAGAACTAGTTTAAAGATGGGGCTTTAATGGGAAATTCGGTTTCATGGCATAGAGAGAATATCAGTGAATGCTAAATATCCAGGTATAAAATTATAGGCATGATAACAAGCCTTTCAAAGGTAGCTGTTTCAGAAGGCAGTCAGAACTCTGGGAAGTAGCTAAAATCAGGTCCATTTGAGCAACAACTATAGGGTTTCTAAAATAACTTAAAAATAAAGCGGTTCTTCCCATTCTTATTTATGTATACTGTTCACTCAGCCATTTTGCCTCTCTGAACAGTTTACACTCAATAAAATCCAAACATAATACAATATATTAAAACAGAGTAACAATCAATAAAACATTCACATAATGCAGTAAGTAAAACTGAGCAGAACAATTTACAAAATGACTAAACAAACTGATAAATACAAGATCCCAATAAAAACAAATACAAACAAGAACCAGAACAAAAATAAAACAAATGACCTGACTGAAGATATTTTATGGACTCTTTTTTAACTTGGAGGAAATAAATCTGTAAGTCATGTTATGATGCTTTTTGACACCCCCCCCCCTCCAATGTCTATTGTGAAAAGTATAAACAGAGGCAGGGAGAAGTAATTTATAATGAAGCTCTAATCAAACCATTACTTTTTTTAGAAATCATTCGATGCTCATCCAAGGAAGGAGAGCCAAGTGAGACAGTTGGCTTGGGTGGGAGATGGTGTGTGGGTGTCGATTCGCTTAGATTCCACGCTTCGTCTGTATCACGCACACACTTACCAACATCTCCAAGATGTCGACATTGAGCCCTATGTGAGCAAAATGCTTGGTAAGTCACTGGCCTTGGAGCAGACAAGTTGTCATCTTCTTTTCTTATAGATATGAAGCATTCCATGGGCAAACAGCAGTGCTGTTACCACATAATCAGACTAAATATGGGAATGAGGCACAGTGGTTGTGAGTGGTTCTCTTTAAGGAAAATGTTGGAAGTGGAATCTAAAAGCGGTATTAAGATACAAGAGGGGGAGATGCTAAGAAGGTCACTGGCCATAGTATTATTATTATTATTATTATTATTATTATTATTATTATTATTAGAACATTTCTATAGTATCAATGCAATGAGTAAAGACCTTTACTTTAGAAAGCTCTTTTATAATAAAGAGAAATTCTCATTGAGTGAAGAGACAAAAAGGAAGTCTATACCTTACTTGAATGGGCAAAAGCATACAAACTTGATTTTACTGTTGAAGTTGAGGCTTTCCTTTTATATATCTTTATTACAGCCTTTAAAAGATATGTCCTTTTCTGAATAAAAAATGTTCAGTGATAGTTGCCGATGTGGAGACATTCTTGAATTTAAATTATCACTTCATGAATAGCAGACATGTTTCAGAAATTAGAAGCACATTTTGGGAGATGTGGGTGGGATTCTAGTATGAATTGTAACGAAAGGCAGAGCATGAAGTATGTTATCATGAATATTGAACATCACAAACAAGTGAAGGCAAGCACAGATTCTGATCTGTAATCAACAGATAGACTGTAATCCAGGCAATTGCAAGACCAGTAGTATCCACTTTAGGTAATTCATTTAGTTTTTGCAATTTTCTACAGTTACGTTGGACATTGTGAACATTTGCTGCATCAATTCAGAGTATTTACTAAGCTCCAGGGACTTAAGGGAGTATGCACACCCAACTCCCCAGTTAGACTAGCAGGGAATCTCAAATACAGAGTTTGAGCCTGGGGGACATCCTAGCTTGACAGCAGACTACCTGTCAGCAGAGTTCTGTTGACAGGACTCTTTTTGTGGGAGAAAGGGATGTGCCCTTGGCTGATCCCCCTGCAGCCCTCTCTGCCCCATGAGCATTTTTTGAATGAGGCAGTGCATGAAGCTGCAGGGTGCAAGTGGAAGCAGGCAAAGAACACCCTTCTGCTCCAGTGGGACCTTCCTCTGGATTTATGTTCCATCCATTAACACAATTAACCCTTCTGTGAATATAATGGACACTCTGATTTTATAATGGACATTGTTTCCCCTTGTTTTCGAAATAGCTGGAAAATCATTTGAGGATTTACAGAACTGTATTCTTTAAAATAAGAATGTTCCCCTCGTTTTTGTTTTTTGTATTTGCATTTACCAAACATGGAATTGGGAGTAAAGATATGATAGAAGCTTCCCATAGAAATGTTTGCTCTTAATTTCTTATGTTCCACATTGCATTTTATTTTATTCTTTTAAATAATTGTATTTTTATATTTGTCATTTTATATTTTAACTGCTTGTAATCTGCCTAGGGAACGTAACTTTCTGGGCAGATGATAAATGCAATCAATAAATAAAACAGAATGCTGCTCTGCTTGTTTCAGGTACTGGAAAGTTGGGATTTTCATTTGTGAGAATCACAGCTCTTATGGTATCATGTAATCGACTGTGGGTCGGGACAGGAAATGGAGTCATCATATCCATACCATTAACAGAAAGTAAGTAGAGTAACAACAGATTAGTTATTCTAGAATGTCAGCGTTCTTCTATTAAAAACAAACTCTAGTGCAGGCCATAGTTTGGTGTTCTCCAGGAACTTCATGTTTCTATATGGCCTAAATCTAGAGTTTACTGGGACTGAGTTCAGTGGACTTGCTCCTAGATAAATGTGGCCAGGGTCATGACTGATTGTGCATTACACTTGGAAAAACATACTTTTATTTGGATTTTCTCCTTGTGATCAGTTTTGAGGCTAGTTTCCACTGGTGCAATGGCATTTGTCCTAATTGAAAGATACAGTTGGGTACGGCCCATAATGTTCAATTACAACAATCAAAGCCCATGAAGATTTCCTATTCAAAACACAAGAGGCAGATTACTCAGTGATTCAGGACCAAACTAGACACAACCTTCTAATAATATACAGTGGTGCCTTGGCTCATGAATGCCTTGGTTCAACAAATTGGGTCACGAACAAAAATTTCATGAAAAATTTGACTTGGGTCGCAAACTCCACATTGGGTGGCAACCAAGATTGCGGCCATCTTCCCACCCGCCCAAGTGAGGAGATGCCCACGATCGCAGTTGCGTTCATGCAGGGAAGACATAGAGGAGCTGACAACAGAAGAACTTGCTGAACTTCAGAGTGAGCAGTAGAAGGCACTTGTTGAGGAGGATTCCACTGAGGAAGACGAGGAGGTTAGCAGTGATACAATCCATTACGAAAAAATGGAATGAATGCCAGGATTTCTTTGAGAAGCACCACCACAACATAACTAATGAACTGAGTGTTGAATCTGATGAACAATAACGTGGTCTCTCATTTCCGGAGGGTTATGCAATGCAGGAAAAAACAAGTGACTATAGACAGATTTTTCACCAAAATTGGCCCTGCAGCTAAGAGACAAAGAAGAGAGGAAACCCCTGAAAGAGATCTCCCCAATGTCCTTATGGAGGGGAACTCTCCCTCAAAACAATAACCTCCCCCCCACCTAGGTTAGTGTTCTCCACTGTACTGTACAGTATTTTGTTACTTTGTTGTTCTTTGTCATTTTGTTTAAAATTTTTCTGATTAAAATAATAGTTACAGAACAGATTAACCTTATTTACATTGAATCTTATGGGGAAATTTAACTTGGCTCGCAACCAAAAATCGGCTTACAACCACATTCGGAGGGGCCAAAACAGATTAACTTTATTTACATTGAATCTTATGGAGAAATTTGACTTGGGTCACAACCAATTTGGGTCACAACCAGAGTCGTGGAATGGATTAAGTTCATGAGACAAGGTACCACTGTATTTAACATTATGCCCACTTAAAAAAATACTAATGGGGGTAATTTCCTAACAGTGTTGTGGCCCCTCATCTTTTTTCTACAACCTCCATACTTCTTCCTTAGTAGACCCCAGCTATAATGTGGCTCTTTTTTCCTGTCCCCCTGTCTAGTCTGAAATTCCTCATAGAAAATTTAGGTGACTACTTTCACCTCTGTAGTTTCCACAGTCCCAGCTGGGAAATATGCATAGAGAGTTAAAAACTTATGTTCTGAGCTCAGGAAAGCAAAGGGCAATGTAATATTTTGAAATATTTTCTTGAATTGCATCAAAGGCATGTGTGATTATAAAGTACTGTTTTGTTTAGTTTTCTTCCCACTTCATTCTATAGGTCTTCGCCTCCAAACTCTGTTTGGGACTTCCATATTTGAATAATTTAATCATATTAAGCATACACAAATTTCCTGTCACTAAGCTGAGATAATACATAACATACTAGCAATATTGGCAGCGTGGTGTGGTAGATCATTGCAGAATGTCTCAGTATCTTAAATAACTAGAAGTTTATTAATTTGCTTATGATGAATTTCATATTAATCGCTTTGAACATCACATGCACTGTTATTCATGCTGTGCCATTACATTGATCATCCATTAAATGTCTGATTTTGTGTTGCCTGTGTGCATTCAATAAAGACAAATACTTCAAAACGTACAGCAGGTTTTTAAATAGTGAAAATGCTCTGGAGAATGGGAAAGAGGAGTTGGATTTTGGCATGTGTTTCTACTGGTCTCTGTAAAAATGGGCTGGGCTCTACAGACATGGCTGGCTTGGGCAGGTACACTCCGCCAGCTCTTAGTAGCGGAGCTTGCAGCTCCGCTGAAGATGGGCCACCCGTATGCCCCTAGTGAAAGTGTCCCAGTGTTTGGGGTGATAATGGTGGTGGCGTGATCCTCGCCACCTGGAAAGCATCAATAGCACAGCAGTGCGGGCCTAGGTAAGTATAGGGGCAGTGGTGGAAAGGAGTTCTAAATAGCACCGTTCACCTACCCACGCCCCACCTGCTCCTGTGGTGTGTCACAGCAAACCATCTGAGTTGTTGGGTAGTGCTCATATGGCTGATGGATTTTTCTCCCTCCAGGAAGTGGAGATGACAGCGTCTGTCAACTCCGATAGGGTTCCTTTGAAAACAAAGAAAGGGGAAACACAGCTTGCCAGCATATCACAATATCAAGGTGTTGCTACGATCTTTACCCTCCTAAGCTACAACTTTTTTGCAGGAAAGACACTGTTCAGTTTTGTTTACGTTATTGAATCTTCAGTAATTAGGAGCTAATATAGAGAGCTCTGATCAAATGGCAGAACACAAGTGGTGGGTTCTCATTAACCCTTCTCCTCTGCTGTCACACCTATCCATTTCCCCTTTTCCTCCTTCCTTACTTTAGCTGTAATCCTCCACCAGGGACGTTTACTGGGGCTGAGGGGTAAGTGCTGATCCCAAACCAAAACAATAAAACAAAACAAAACACCAGTTCTGTACTCTCAGGCTTCTCTAATGGCCACTTTAAGGCTGTTCCCCACTGTTCTAAAATTTACTCCCCTGTTTGTATGTTCCTAAACCGTTTTTCCACTTGCAGTTACCTGCATTGCAGTATTTTATGTTTGCTAAATGACCACCAGTCCTGCTCAGCAGTGTAGTGCCTTCATATTTTGTTGCAGCTGAACTTTTCATGCTGGCTTCTGTTTTTCTTCCAGCACCATTTGTGATACCATAACCTTAATTGTCATTAATCCACATCATTTTTCTCTTGTTACAAATCATATTTCTTTCCCTCCTCTGATACCGATTGAAATGGAGATAGTGTTGTGTGTCTAGCATACAAAATCACAAGAAGATGCACACTTTTAAACATCCATTTCTAGAAGTGAATGCAAGGCTTCTGAGACCCATCAAAGACCATTAAACTGTCTCATCCAGCCACTCTTGGTTTTAAGAGAGCTGGTAATCATTGTTGCTGAGAAAGTCTTCCTCTGGAAAGAACAGTCTCATGGCAGATTCCTCTCGCTCTGCAACAACCAATCACACAGTAAGAGTTCATTTGCCCTGCCACTCAGTGATGTTTGTGCCGACCTGGAATCACTCTTTGCAAACAACCCCCCCGCCCCCCCCACACACACCAAAGCATATAAGGGTGTTTTTGATTACTAGTTCATTTCAGTTATTATTTTTAGGACCTGCCCTTATTTGCAAATTTAGTGGGCGGTTTTTTGCCAGAAAAATACACATTTATGCTAGACTAGCAAGCTACTCCATTTTTTCTATGAGAAACTTCAAATAACTAAGCATGCTGTCTTTTATTCCTTTCCAGCTCTGTCTTGAATTGGCATTTTGTTGCCCCTTCTGCTTCATTTCTCTAAGTTGGCTTTAGCTTCTAGATTGGTACCATGAGGTTTCTTAATGAATAAGCATCTTGGCAACTAGCAGTTTCAAGTGGAAAATATTTCCATTCTTTCTGTGTAGCTAACAAAGCCACTGTGGGTTCTGGCAACCGTCCAGGCAGTGTAATACGCGTATATGGTGATGAAAACAGTGACAAAGTGACTCCAGGGACCTTCATACCTTATTGTTCAATGGCACACGCACAGCTCTGTTTCCATGGGCATCGGGATGCAGTCAAGTTCTTCGTTGCAGTACCTGGTAAGTTTTGCCAGTAGCTGTTACCACCCATTTTCAACTTGCTAAGGATGCATGGGGAATTTAGAGTCCTTGGAAGAAGTGGTAGATACTCCTTGCTTGGATGTATTTATGGAGCCCTTTAAGGGAGCCACCCCCAACCTGATGCCTTCCAAATGTGTTGGATTTTCTTGATCCCTGCCCAGCATGATCAATAGTAGGAATGCTGGGAGTTGTAGTCCAACCCATGTGAAGGACACCAGGTTGGAGAAGGTTGACTTAAATGCTTCTTCACGACTCAGTCTAAGAGGAAAAAGCAATCTGATTCTGATGAAGCTGCTTGCTGAAATCAGGAGCATGCATTTTTATGCTTATCCAAAACCAACATGAGCTAATAAAATGAATATATAGAGCAGAGCATGAAGCACATTTTTTTAAAGGGAGATGTTCTGTAGCTACTTTTCCTGAGTGTGTTCCTGACACTTGAATACTGCTTTGAAACCACTCACAGGGCATTCTGGTGATAGAATAATGTGGTTTCTGCACCATCATCCTGAAACTGCAGGGCCTGTGCAGTGTATCTTTATTTCATGCTCCTTCCAGGTTTCCCAGAATCTGTCACAGTAATCCTTTTACTTTTCATCCACTGAGAAGAGAATCTTGAACAATGCTTCTCCAACATGCAGGATTTTCATTCGAGGAACTTCCTTATGGATATTCTTTTGTTATGTTATCAGTACTTCTTCCAAACTCCATATTTATTCATTTTTTTTAAATAATTTTAATTTTCCAATATATACAGTTACATAGAAGAATACAGAACAAAGGAAAAGCTAACATAAAACAGAGTAAAGGGAACAAAATAAACAAAGTTGCTAAGGGAATGGCAAACAACACAGCCCATATATTGCAGCCCCCATATTCATTCATTTTTTAACTGGCACATCAGTGTTTTTTTTAGAGTTCACAGTGTTACACACCGTGAACAAGACACATTTGTGCTTCGTCACTGCCATAACGCACTGGCATTGAAGCCTACATTAGGCAAGACTATAGCTGGGAGGAGAGACTGGGGAAGATCAGGTGGCAGTAGAGGGATTAATAAGGTGACTCGAGGGATTCAGAAAAACCTGTTTTCTGAAGTGCAGTTGGAGAGGCAAGGGATGTGGCCTTCATGTATCCACAGAGGGAAGACACCCCCTGGCTTCGCTCCCATGCAGAGGAGGGTTGGGTGAGCAGCATCTCTGTATGCAGCCGGGTGTCTCAAGTCTCCTTCTTTACCAAGAGCAGCACGGATCTTGACAAATTCCCAGAACTTCAGAAGGGACACCAGATGCAAACGTAGAGCTGCTACCAAGGAAATCTTGGTTGTGTGGGATTAAGCCATTGCGTCTCCGTGATTGTAACCCCTGTGGACATGGTAGAAAGCACCAGATATCTGAGAAGGGGGGTGGGGGCAACAGCGGAATATGGATAACAGGGAGAAGTAGAAAGTAGGAAGGAGAGACAAGGATATGGAAATAGGAAGAGAGCTTTTGGGTAGGAGCTTATAGCTGATGCTTGGAGTATGCACTTGTGCAGACTGATGAGAATAGGAGGACATATATGATCATTGCAGTATGCCGGCTTAATGTAGATAGTCTGAATCAATTCAACAGCCAGCAAAGAGAAGATTACCAAAATTTTGACTGAATTTCCACAATCTGGTGCCCTTTACATATTTAGGATGTTAGGATACCATGGGCATTATTGTTGGAAACCCCTGGTAGGCAGCAAACAAGACCTTCAGTTTAGCCATCTCATATATTAGAACAAGCTGTTGGTTCAACAAAATCCTGGAGATGGATGAATCCATTGTGTCAGCGAGGTGCCAATTCAAAAGCCTTTGGATCTTTGCTCATCCCAAGCATTAATCCTATCCCCGTGTATAAGGAGATACTCCACGAAGAGAGAGAGAATCTGTATCTAATTTTCTGAATCATTCCTTTTTCACACAAATGCCATGGCTTTAATATTAACTGAGATGTCTATACAGTGTATATCTGAGGGACTGTGTCCATGAAGTACCTTTAAATCTCAATAAATTCAGGTCCGAATTAAACTGGCCTTTGAAGCAGGAGCTGCCACTCCTGGTTTAGGTAGGTTGTGTTGGGTTGTGTAGTCTACCTTGTCTTAGCAACATGGAGGTGACCATGGAATTGGTGGCTTCTTCTTGAGTCACTTATCTGGCTGATTTCATTGTTGGTGCAACATTTAAGTTTTGCTGTAGCTCATGCCTCAGGATATACAATTTTCTTTTGTGTATTGTAAGAGGTGGCATTAATTTAGCCAAGCAAGTCAAATACTCCAAGTTGTGAAGTAGGGAATAAAATTCATTATGTTTTTCTGCCATTTGTATTCCAAGATGAAGGCTTATTCTGTGTTTGGGGGGTAGGTGAGGGGGGCATTCAGATTGTCAATATTTTGCAAAAATTTATTTAATCACTCGTGTTGACATATGTACTGTAAATTGTAATGCTGATTCCTTTTCTGCCATGTAGGTCAAGTAATTTGTCCACAAGTGGGAGGAAGCTCAGAGCTACCTGGTGATAAAAGTACCATCTCGGCACAGGAGTCAAACAGTCAGGCACTTTTAAAATCCATGTTGGTCCTAAGTGGAGGAGAAGGTTACATTGACTTCCGGATGGGTAAAGCTTTAAACATCTTTATTAGCTGTATTAACAAATCAGTAAAATACTGCAAGACAAGGATAATCATTTCTTTATTCCTCCCCTTGAATTGCAAGTAAGATTAAAGCTAATTTGATCTGAGAGAGTTTCTTTAAACCTCTTCTATCTATATCTGTTTATTCTTGTTTCTCAGAAAACTGCAAGTGCATTAATGACTATTTAGATAGCATAAATTATCCCCTCAAATCGTTTGCTTTTCTGAAAACAGAAAATCTGCCCCAGGCTGATAGGCTATCAGATATTATCAGCAAGAATTTCCCCCTCTATCTAGCTGGGTCCCATAAGTCTCCTCAAGGGGCCATTAAGAGCTATGCCAATCTCACTAGCACAGACCCCCTTTAGTCTCTGCATACTTTTCTTGTCTCACCTTCCCTTCCCTTCCCTTCCCTTCCCTTCCCTTCCCTTCCCTTCCTGAGGCATACTTGAGTATGGCAGGGATGAAAACCAGAAGTTAAGTTTCTATAACACAGCGATAGAGTACATTCTCTTCTGTCCCATTCCACTACAGTAGCTCATAATGTATAGAAACTTTAGAACACAGTATTCCCACAAGTTTATTCAAGCCTGTGATTATTTGAACATTTTATTTTATTTTATTTTATTAAGTTTGTATATGCTGTCCAATACTAGAGTCTCTGGATGGCTTACAAAAAACAAAACAACAATATACCAACAAACAACACACTGCATCCGACCATTAATGATAAAATCAAAGATAAAACCAATTAAATGTTAAAATATTGGGAAAATAATAATAAATAAATATTAATAATTATTTTAAATTATTTAAAATAAATAATTCACCTCTTCCCTTCAATTTCATGAAATGGATAGTGTTGAATTATACAGGTAATCTGGATTTTTAAAATCCAGGCAACCTGCTCACTCCTTCCTTGGAAGCCTTTTGCTGTAGAGCAGCTTTCCCCAACCTTGTGCCGTCCAGACATGCTTGGACTGCAACACCCAGAATGCCTGGTCGGGACCTGCTGTATGGGAGTTCTGGAAGTTGTGGTCCAAGTGCCTCTGAAGACCTCTAGGTTGGGGAAGGATGCTGTAGAGAGTACTGCCAAGCTTCCCCACAGCCAGAATTCACCTGATCTCAAGGCAGGTGCCTGCTTTCGGAGCGATGACCTGTTTTTTTCCTTGAGGGCAGCAGAAGACCGCATGTTCTAACAGTGCGTGCCATTAGGTACATTAGGTACACCTCTTCCCTGCAATTCAGTATATTTTGAGAACGTTGTGCTTTCAGTAATTGTAGGAGTGGGTGACAGCTTGGTGGCGGGGGGGGGGGGGGGGTGTTGGGCTTTGGTTTTAAGTTGCTCCAGTCTTGAAGGCCTGTTCAGCCAACCGGTTCCGTCTTGCATTCCAGGTGATGAAGTTGGTGAATCAGAACTGCTGGGCGAAGCGTTGCAGCTTGAGCCTTCCGTAGCCAAAGCAGAGAGAAGCCACCTGATAGTGTGGCAAGTTATGTGTGGCAGTGAATGAGATCCCCACCTGCACCCCAGGAAAGCAGCTTAAGACTGCAAAAGTGTTTGCATGTCTTTGGAATTTTGTTTTAATTTTGTGGAATCTCTTTCACGGCATAAAGTTTGAGCATTTCTTTGCCATTTGCCATTATATCACAAACCTCTCAACCCCTTAACTGTACGAGAATTAGCTTGTGCTGTTTTACCGCATCAGTGTTACGTATCAAGAAGAAATATTCCCCCAAATTGACAAATACTGTATTGTGTTTGCTAAAACAATTTAACACTAAGGCCACTGCAATCTGTAATATAATCCTTTCCCCCTCCAACTTCTACCACAAATCATTCTAAATTTTGGACAGACATTTTAGATTCATTTGAACACCATTTCCTGAGTAAAGCAGCAAAGTTATATTCTGGGTAGCATTTAAAAATACAAGAATAATTATCTTTAGGTTATACTCTGTGCATTCCTTGAGGGCTAAAAACAAGTTGTAAGTCTTTAGTTTTTTATTTATAAATTCTACCAGACTTTACACAGATAAATTGAAGGCCTTTTGTTCATATCATATTCTCTGAGATGAAAAGGGGATTTTTTTAGAAATTCACTGATGGTACCATAAGTTTTATGTTTAGTTGCTAATATCACTAAAAATGAAGAGTATTGTCCTTAATAATGAGGATTTTGGTATATTGTGGGAAAAATTTTTTCACAGTTTTCTTACATGAGATGACTGGAGAACAACTTGATTAATCACAAAGGACCTTCTTTGAATGATTTATAAATTTCTTGTCTGCCCTTTTTGCGTACCAGTCAGTAAACACATGGCACTTGATACAGAAGGATCCAAACAAGGAACAAAATACCAGAGAGCTTTAACTTCTTAAGCAACCCCTAAAGCGCATTATTTTTCATAGCCCATTTAATTAATGAATTGTATATGGCTTGTTTCTCCTGGGGACTGAATAAGGTAGGAGAGGGTGTGTCACTTGCGTTGGTGTACTCACTGATTTCAGTGGGCCAGCACTACTATATTAAGGCATGGGGGGCAGGGGGTCTTTCTCTAAGTTTGAGGAAACAGAGAAATAGCATGCTACAATTTATTTCATTTTCTCAGTAGAAGCTTCAGATTGGGCATCCTCCTTTGCTTCAGATTACCCAGCTGATGGCAAAACTAAGTTGATTAATTCTTCAGAGTGTGCAACAGCTTTCTAGTAACTAATTTCTTGGAAAGTATGGTTTAAAATATAAACATGCAGCTAGTGCCCACCAAGAGACTCTGGCTGTCCCCATTAGATGGGAGCAGACAATATTTAAAGTGACAGGATGGGAGAATTTCAAAAGTCTCAGATGACAGCATTTTAAAAAATAGAAACAGTCCTGAAAAACTGCCTAAACATTTTATGCAATAGGAGCAGTTTATCGTCAGTCAAGGATACATGTATTTATATAAATATATATATATATATATATATTATATACACATATTAATTTTTTAAAATCATGTTAAGCTGAGGTCTATTGTGTAAATATTTATTTAGGCAGCTTTTTAAAAAAGAGATGAGTGTCTTACCTGATGAAAAAATCAGTAAAACTCCATTCAGGTCTATTGGTTAGAGATTTATATGTATAAACACTTTTTAAACACCATATTTTGTACACAAGTTAAGTTATGGTAAGTATGTATTTAGACCATGAAATGTGTGGTTAAAAACTATTGAATGTCTAATACCTTGGTAATGGGTATTTTCCCTCCAATATGCCAAAAGTGACAAGCGATCACAATTTACTCAGAACTTACAGGTGGCGCAACTGTGCTTAGAAAATTTAAGAAAAAGAACACTCAAACCTCCATGAAAGATCCAGAGAAGCGTGAGTCTTTCTCCCACCCTTTCTTCCTCAGGATTTGCCTGTGGACAGTCCCTGCTAGCGCCATGTTTATGTTGCACCGTTCAGCACTTTCCCAACTTGGGAGAGTTTGCCGACCAATCTGGAGAGGATGCTCAGGAAGAATTTCACTGTTTGTGCCCAAGGTGGCACAAAGCCTTGTCAAGATAGATGTTTAGAAGTCAATACTGTCCTTCAAGCACTCTGCATTGTGCAGGCAGCTCGTTAAATGAGGTGACCAGATGAAATGCTTGGTGTCCCTTCCGAGTTGCATGAACCAGTCATCTTCGGCCCCTCTGGTCTTCTCACATTTATGGACATGATTGTTTGAAAAGTGTTCTCCAGATCTTTCATGAAAGGTTGAATGGTCAAGTTCACATATTTGGAAACAGGTACAAAGATTGCCTTCCTTGTTTCCCTCTTCCATGTGTAGCGCTTTTATTTTAAAATGGTTAATGAGCTATTCTCTGAAGTGCTTCACTGCTGTCAGACAACAGATGCATCTGGGTAGCCTCAGTAATGACTTGCCAGATGTACTGGGTAAAGTGTGTCTTTCTGTTCTCATTGGATCAACTGCTATTCACAGCTGCAAAGCTAGTACAACAGAAACTATGGCACTATTATCAGTGCGAGCAAAGGATGAGCGCACATTCACTGGTCCTTGTTTGTTTTGAAACGTATCCCCTGCCCTAAGGATTAGCATGTTTAGAAGGTGGGATTCAGCACCATCCCCTGAGATTAGTACACTCCCTGTTCCCAAGCACTTTTTAACACTATGTGGGAAAAATGCTAACTCGCATGCATCAAACGATTGCCTAAGAGAGAATAATCCCTTTTCAGGATGTCTTCTGAATCAAGTACTCGTAGTTCTAAAATCAGTAGGAATGAATCTCTTGATAGTTAACGGCTTTGTTAATAGTTTGAGAGAGCATTTCAAGCACACACAATGCAGCACATGATTTGTCTGAGTAAATGTGTCTTGCATGGTAAAAGGTCCAATTTAAGTTTATCTATCCTGCCAGATTAATTTCTTGTAAGGTCTTCCTGCGCTGGATCAAGTAGAGTTGGCAGAGTGTTAGACACTTTATCATAGGCTGCCTTAGTAACTAAGAAATGTTTTATAATCCTGTAATATGCTAACTGTTCTAAAGAACATGGTGTCTTGAAGATCATGTTTGAATATTTATTTCCATGTGAGTATTATGAAAGCTACCAAAGGATTGAAACTGACTTGGCACTCTTCAGCTGACCATGTGCATAAAGAGTCTTGTTTAAGGTCCTGAGTTTGTAAAAATGACACAGAGTGAAATACGCACTTCCTTGTGGATGCTAACATTATTTTCCTAACAGGGTTATGCCATATTGTAACAACCTATGTTGCACCTCAGAACAATGTTCTGTACACTAAATATTCTCCTTCCTTCTAACAGTTTCATTGCTGCACATTTCTCAATCTTTTAAACATGTTTTAAAACATTTTATGGTCATTACTTTTTGAAAATGTTGTCTAGACACTTTATGCTGAATTTTTCTTGCCTCTGTAACCTTGAGATACTGCAGCATTAAACCTGCTGTTTGTTTAAAACCCGAGGCTTCTTTTCTGTGAGCCAGAAAGCTCATATAGCAGTGAAGTTATTTCAGTATTTATTATTGAATCCTTGGGGGTTCAGAATGTAACTTTGTACATGAAATATATATAAATATGTATATGAAATGCACACTTGCTCTGGTGTCTTTCTTGGATGATGTTTTCCTGAGCACAGATGCTCATTAAGGGTATTTTCATTTGATGGGATAAGGCTTAGGCAAAGCAGTGCAAAGCTAATTGCAGACTGATTTTCATGCACAATATGACAACCCACCCTGTGAATAAGCTGTGCAGTGTGGGTTGATTGCCGACCACCCCGTGGGGGCCCCCAGAGGTGAGTGTTCCTCGTGGAGCAGCCAGGCTTGTTTCCGCCATTCCAGCTTTGACTCTGACTCCTTTTCATTCACAGTGGCTTGTTTGCTTGCCTGCTTCCTTGAACTTCAAGCAAGCCCAGTTTGAGGGCATTTAAACAAAAATGGCCCTAGAATTGTGACAAATATCCTTGTATCTTTTTTTCCTTTGGTCTTTCACAATTATGCATGTGTACACTAGCAGACTGCATACGAGGACTGCCTATCAGCTAAATTGTGTCAAGCTGTCAATTGAAAAGCACCTGCAAAAGGGAAGCAAGGTGCAGAGTAGGTGCATCAAAGGGGTGTGGGCTTAAGAATGTCTCCTTCAGGTGGCAATCCTCTTGATTTCTACTGTTGAACTGATGCTTATCAAAAAGTGGAGGACACTGGTGCCTCATTGAATCTCCTGCTAGCCCAGAGAGAGGAGATCCTAAGACCACCTTTTTTGGTTTGCTTTCATGGCTTGGGAAGTAAATAGACTAGCAAATTAATGCATGTTTCCCTTGCATTTACTCCCCAGCCATGGAATCTACATATATTTCCCTACTCCCAAAAAGTGCAGATTTGAACAGATTGTACCTGCTCTTTCTGCTGCAGCACACAGGCTCAGTCCAACACCCACTATTTCTAGTCCAGGCTGATGCTAGACGGGCTTGCTTCTAGTCCATCTTGAAAATGAGGGGACTATCCCAATGATGCCGTGTCTCGACTGTTATGGAGCCATTCAAATGATGCATAGTTGCTTAAGATGCCGCCTGACACGTTCACTATATTTTTGATATTGGGAACTACTCCATTGTGGAATCTTTACAAAAAAGATGGACCTGTAAAACTGTTGCCATCATTTAACCAGGAAAAATACATATCCTACAGATAGTCTGTTCTCTGCTTTGCCCCAGTGAAGCCAGACATAGTGATTGACTGTTAAGTAGACTGATCATTTGTGTTTTTGCTTTTGAGAAAAATTTTGACTTCTTTTCTGTTCGGATTGTTGAAGGGTAAATATTCCCCATTCAAGGAAAATTACAATGTTCCTAGTGATGTATAGCTTCTCCAGTTGCAGCTTCCACAGATCAAATAGCACTATTAATTTAGTGGTGCTGCTTCCAAAGGACTGTTTCCACCTCTGATGTTTCCTTGGTTTCTGTCCACACGTTCTGGTGTGTGTGTGTATGTGTGTGAGAGAGAGAGGGGCATTTCCATCAGCGTCTGGTGCTTTTTCCATTGTCATTCATTTTTATTGAATAGCTAGTCCTCCCATGCCAAATGTTAGCTGATGATTCAGAGCCCAAGAATGGGTAGGATTTCCCTCATGACTGTAGTTGGGTTGGAAAAATTGTTGGAGTAGGGCGTTACTGTCAGATTTTCTGTGTGCACAAAAAGTCTGGCTTGGCACTTCAGGCAATTTGTAAGATTGCTTGTTGGAGATCACGAAATGAAAATACAAAACGATTTTTTAGCATCACTGGGAGAATAGCAGGCTAAAGGTGAGATCCAGTTGCCCGTGTGAGCCACAGTTCCCTCGCTCAGCAAAGGTGAAGTGCCTTTCTCAAGCACAGAATTGCATTTTTAATGAACAGTGAAAAACCTGGGCCCACTTCTCAGAAACTAATCAAGTGCAAAGTCATCCTCTACAAACCAGATGTTTCTGTTACTTTAAGTTTATGATGCCTTCTTGGCCTCCCAAAGAGTTGCAGAGGTGTGAAGTTAGAAGAGCAAACCAGAGAGGAAATACAGTTGTTTGCTTTCCTGACTTTATGGTAAGTCAACAGTCTCTGTGGTTTTGGGGGGGGGGGGGGGTTAACCCTTTGCCTTCCAACCATTTTCCCCACTTCAGATCCTCCTTATGCACTGCTTTCTTCCTTGAAAGGGAAAATGGATTGGGTGCCTGTACACTGGAAAAAACAACTAAAGGAAAATTTTAAGTAGATAAACTGCTAGAGGGAAACATGGCTAAGCAGCAGCACCTTCTTACCTCTCCTTATCTCTCTCCCTCTCCATCTGCTCAAACACAACTTTTAGGCTTCATGCTGTGGCAGAAAGATGCACGTTGTAAGAAGCATCGGGTCAAGTTGGAGAGATGCAGGCATAGGTACTTCAGGCAGCGGTTGAACAGCATGCAACTACTTGCTCAGTTTCAGGATGTGAAGCAGGTCACAGGCATTTCTCTGCTTGGGGTGAGAAGGCATCCGAGAATTGGTCCATTCCCCTGATCACCCTGGAAAGGTGGCGGTCCTGTGCCAGGTGATCTTTGGATGGGCATGTGTCCCCACACGTCTTCCTGGAGTCCTGGGAGGTAGGGCAGCTAGTGACGGTGGGGAGCCTTGGCAAGGGAGAGCAGTCACGTCATCTTGCCCTGCTTTCCTGGCTGTTTTTATCTGTTTTTACATTCATTTATGGGTCTAATTGTGGCACAGAACACAGCTCAAGAGGCCACGAGTAAGCAAAACGAAAGTCCTGTCCTAGTCTTGGTATTGTCCTGGCCATCCCACAAGCGCCTCTGCTGAGCAGCAGCAAGCACCCTCCAAAAAAGTACAGTTGGCAACTCGAGAGTAAACATGATCATAACCTCCATTATTTTTAACATACATTTTTAACTTGTGAATCTCTAAATCAAAGCTAAAACCCAAACAAAAAAGGAAAAAGAAAATAAAATACCACAGTTTTCTTACGTAGAATATAAATAAGTCTGTTACATACTTATATTCTATGTACCTCTATACATTTTATATACTGCACTGTCTACTGGTATTATTGAAGAAATCCGTGCACAGACTGAATGGCAGCCTAAATATCTATGTATCTGCCCATTCATAGATGACACCTAAAAACCACCCCTTTGAATATTGGACATTTTGTCAAGTACTCCACCCATTGTGTTATTGCAACCAGTTGCTTATCCATTGAGAGCTATAGCATCTGTCTTTTACATGTCAAAAGTGCATAGAAAATCCACTTGCATTAAGTTCTAAGAGACAGGCAGACTGTTAAGAAGAACATGTGAATCAGTAAATATGAAAGAATTTTCCTTCACAACATTTATCCAAATAATAATACCTTCCCAAAAGGAAGCAACCATTGGCCGTTGCCGAAACATATGAGAAAGAGAAATAGAACCTGTATTGCACCTCCAACAATTGCCCAATTTAATTATGCCCTTGTTGAACAGATACTGTGTGGTCTGATGCACTTCAAATATTGCTGTTTGCTGGATTAAGCATAATCTAACATCTGCTACCTGTTCTGAAATAGCTGCCAAGAAACCACTCCACCAATTGGGCAGGCTAAGATGCTCCATCACTCCATTCCGGCTTAAGACCCTGCATATCATTTGCTCACAGATAATACATATTTATAAACATGGATCATGGGCTGGTAGCTCCATTACTAAGCAGGGGATTTTTAGCTTGTATATAATCCAAGACCAAAGCACAGTAAATATTCAAGAACTCAGCACCTCAAATGGGAAGAAGACTTTTTAGCTTCGGTTTTTCCAATGCCTAGAGATGGTAGTTCTTGCTTTCCAATAAAAGTAAGGCAAGTGGCATTTCCTCCTTTCTCTTCTACCACCCCAACCCTGGCAGAAATGTTTCCATGTTTGCACAATAGGTACACATTCAACATAAAATTTGAGTAAAGTTGGAATTCAGTTTTTGCTTGTTGAGCATTTTATAGAAAGGCGAGTCTGTGGAAAATGAGCAACTCAGTTATGGATCAGATACAACTTTCTGAATTGGGAGCAAAACACTGGGTAAGGAGATGGGTAGTTCAAGCTTATTTCAGGAGAAATTAATTGCTAAAGTACACAGATAAATCAGAACAAAATCAGGACAGCACTGAGGCTAGAAATTCTCACGTTGAGTTATTTTACAGACCTTTGGGCCTTGCTGTAAGTTTCTGGCCATAAGGAAGAGCATGTAGAGGGTCCCAGGTTAATTCCATGCCATCACCAGTGAACAGAATCCAAGTTTAGCCAGACTAGGAAAGATCTCTGCCTCAGACCTAGAAAAACTTCTTAAAGTGACCAGATGTAGGCTGCATAGCAGCGACCTGTCGAAATACAAGTAATCTATAGTTACAGGGTTGGCTATCTTGACATCTGTGAATGTATCTAACCCTGCGATTTCTTCTAAAGTGTCACTTTTTGTGTCTCAGCAAAAAAGTTAATTGCTTTTAATATGTGGATGTTGTTCTTGAATGGGTTAACGTGTGTGTGTGTGTGTCTTTAAAAAAGACAGAAATGTATTATTTCCCACCCTAAACTTGCAAACAAAGTTACACATTTTGACTGGTAGCCAGTTTTCCCACAGATGGCCTTTGTCATTTACCTTCTTAAATGAATGGATGACCCCAGGCCTTGAGAGAGGAGGTGGTCCTTGTAGAAATTTCTCATATGTAAAAGTCCTTTGTTGATCTTATCATTCATTTTTTACTTCTGAGGGCTACAGGAATCCTTTGGGAAGGCATCTTTTCCAGAAGCCTTAAAGGTCTTGACCACAACCTTGGGTTTGCTGTAAATTCTAGCTTTGTACTGAGAAACTGGACTGGAACACGTTCTCAGGATATTTTCAATGTGGAGAATGAAAGTCCTTAATAACTTTGTTGTGGGTGTCAGTAATTAATGGCCAGAGGTTCTGAGTCTGTGACATCTGTATAACAGGTGCAAATCAAAAACCGTAGTACTAAACTTTTCCTCATCTTAAGGAGTTGTCTTAAATCCTTGCTATTGATTTTGACTTGAATTGGGTTAAGTCAGGAATAGATGGACTCTTAATCA